CCACACCACCACACCACACACAGCACCACACCACACACAGCACTACACACCACCACACCACAGCACCACAGCACCACACCACCACAGCACCACAGCCACACACAGCACCACACACACAGCACCACAGCACCACACACCACACCACCACACACAGCACCACACACACCACACACACACACCACACCACACCACCACACCACAGCACCACACCACCACACACACCACACAGCACCACACACACACAGCACCACACCACCACACCACAGCACACACACACCACCACACCCACACAGCACCACACCACACCACACCACACCACACCACCACACCACACACCACACCACACACCACACACAGCACCACACACACACACACCACACACAGCACCACACCACACACACACACACCACACCACCACAGCACACCACACCACAACACACACACCACACCACAGCACACACACAGCACCACACCACAGTACCATACACACACCAGTCCACAGCACCCACACACACCACAGCACACAGCACCCACCACCACACCACAGCACCACACACCACACCACAGCACACACACACCACACCACAGCACCACACCACCACACCACAACCATACCACACACACACCACACACACACACCACACACACAGCACCACCACACACACACACAGCACCACACCACCACACACACAGTACCGCCACACACAGCACACACACCCACACAGCACCACACCACACCACACCACACTACACCACACACACACCCACAGCACCACCATCACACCACAGCACCACACCACACCACAGTACCATACCACACACAGTCACAGCACCACATCACCCACAACACCACACACCACACCACACCACAGCACCACATCATACCACACACCAGTCCCACAGCACCATCACACCACACCACCACACCACACCACAACACCACACCACACCACAGGCCAGTATTTCCGCGGTAAAACGTGAGCAAAGGTAATATCGTTCCAGTGGACGCTTGTGGTGCAGCCTGTGTTCTACGGTGATAAATCTTCTCACTTTTATCTTGTATATATTGTCATGGGTGGCTGGTGGAGGTGAGGGGGAGGGGGTGAAGGTGGAGTGGAAGGAGGAGGGGTGGGGAAGGAGGAGGGGAGGGGGAAGGAGGAGGGGTGGGGAAGGAGGAGGAGGTGAAAGTGAAGTGTATGAGGAGGGGTGGGGGGGGAGGAGGGGGGAGGGTAAGGAGGAGGGGGGGAAGGAGGAGGGGTGAAAGGAAGTGTAAGGAGGAGGGGGAGGGGAAGGAGGGTGAGGTGAAGGTGTAAGGAGGAGGGGGGAGGGGAAGGAGGAGGAGGTGAAAGTGAAGGTAAGGAGGAGGGGGGGGGAAGGGGGGAGGGGTGAAAGTGGATGTAAGGAGGAGGGGGAGGGAAGGAGGAGGAGGGAAGGGGGAGGAGGGTGGGGAGAGGAAGGAAGGGGTGAAAGTGGGGGTGTAAGAGGAGGGAGGGAGGGAAGAGGAGGGTGAGAGGTGAAGTGTGGGGGAGGAGGGTGGGGGAAGGAAGGAGGGGTGAGGTGAAGTGTAAGGGGGAGGGAGGGGGAGGGAAGGAGGGGTGAAGTGAAGATGTGGGAGGAGGGGGTGGGAGAGGAGGAGGGGTGGGGAAGGAGGAGGGGGTGAAAGTGGAATGTAAGGAGGAGGGGTGGGGAAGGAGGAGGGGGTGAAAGTGGAGTGTAAGGAGGAGGGGTGGGGAAGGAGGAGGAGGTGAAAGTGAAGGTGGGGTGTAAGGAGGGCTTGGTGGAGATAATATCGTCCAAGGAAAAGTTATTTTCAATACTTTCTTGGACAGTAATCCAATCATTGTACCGTGAGAAGAATGCCACAGCAGGCAGGAAGGTGAGAGAATGTTCGTCGAGCTTTCATATGAGTGAACCTGAACACTAGACGCTGCTTAACTGCTCGTGCTGGCGCTGTTGTTATGCCATAAGTGTACGGACTCCACCTTATGAGAAATTTTATCAGTGTTACTTTAAGAATCTTGGTAGATATTTAATTTTCTTCGTAAATATTGTGTCTCCGAGCTACAACTTAGACCTACTTTAAGATACTAATTTCTAAGTTAAAACAATATTATAAATGGATTCATCAATAGTTTAAATAATGCTACGTAGAACAATCAATTAACAAACTTTACCGTAGATACATTCAATAACAAAAAGCACAATGACATTAATCCATCAGCCTCGTCCCAAACACAACAAAAACAACCACAACAAACAAAACAAACACAACAAACACAACCAAAACACAACAAACACAACAAAAAACAACCAAAACACAACAACCACAACAAAAACACAACAAAAACACAACAACCACAACAAAAACACAACAAACACACAACAAAAACACAACAAACACAACAAAAACACAACAAACACACAACAACCACAACAAAAACACAACAAACACACAACAAAAACACAACAAACACACAACAACCACAACAAAAACACAACAAAAACACAACAAACACACAACAAAAACACAACAAAAACACAACAACAACCACAACAAACACATTCTAACACCCAAAACGTGAGAGTGTGAGGTCCTCTTATGCACCCCTCACCACCTACCCCTGACACTCTGAGAGACAGTTATATAAAGTCAAGTAAGTAAGTCGACAACTGAGAGTAATCCTTTTTTTTTCATCTTATCATTTAAATTAAAGTCGTGGGGACATCTTACCTTGTAGACTGGTGGTTGGGGAGGAGTGGGAAGGGGAGAGGGGTGTGGAGAGGGGTAGAGAGAGGGGTAGGGGTAGAGGGAGAGAGGAGTATTGGCTTTATGACCTCAGTAATAGGGGCTTTGATTGGTGACGACTCTCTCTCTCTCTCTCTCTCTTTTGTTAAATTATCCTTATCTAAGTCATTTACTGCCTCAATAAACCTGCTTTTTCTTTATTTATGTTTGTAGACCACACACACACACACACACACACACACACACACACACACACACACACACGAGAATAGAATAAAATAATATACTTGTTTTCATAATATATCATCGATGCTCATTTGTTTCTTTGGTTGTTTTACGGACAGATTGATCTTCGTGACGGGAATCAAACTAATTTACCGGCTGTCACTCTAGCATTGAACACTTAATTTTAGTCTCATAATCTGCGTCAAATTTTCTCCTTTAATTATTTATTTTTTATTTATTTTTTAATTAATGAAAAATACTAGTATGGAAAATATGTCACCTTGGGGGGGAATTTTTAAAGGTAAGTCTAGGTAAGTATATGTATATTTATTCATTTATACGTGGTATGTATTAAGGGGTTATATGAATACCTGAATATATACAGTACAACTAAATCAAATGAGAAACATAAATATTATTAGTTTTTTGGATCTCGTGAACATTTCAATGCCTTAGTTTATTTCACCTGGTAATGATACACTCTAAAGCTACCTGAAGGGGTTGGGTTAGCGTTAGGTTAGGTCAAGTTTAGCGCTTGGTTAGGTTAGGTTAGGTTAGGTTAGGTTAGGTTAGGTTTGGTTAGGTTAGGTTAGGTTTGGTTAGGTTAGGTTAGAGTTTGGTTAGATTAGGTTAGTATTAGGTTAGTTAGGTTAGGTTAGCATTAGGTTGTTTAATCACTGGTGTAATAAACTAGGATGCCTAATCTTCACGTGATCCCAATTCCTTCACACCCAAAAATAAATACAAACAACACTCCTAGTTAATAATGATTAATTAGACCTGACAGCACCTCCACACTAATTCAGCTTAACTCACTCACTCACCCGCTGACGGAAAACTCTGGAAAATATGATAATAAACGGCAGGTTGTCAGCGATGAAACTTTAATGAGTTTACCTTCGTTGGATTTTGGGGGAGGATAATTCTGGTAAAAGCCAAAATGTTGGATCGTGTAATTTGAGAATGTAAGAACAAATTATTATTATTAGTAGTAGTATGTGTGGTCGTAAGGGAAGGTTAGAGGCCATAATAGCTGATAAAAGTAGTAGTAGTAATAGTAGTAATGATAGCAGTAGTGGTAGTAGCTGTAGTTTCATTATTAATACTACTACTAGTTCTACTACTTTTTTTAACGTGGCCGCCAGCCTCTCCCAATAGTCACATCTTCGCCGCCATTTTATTACCTTAAAATTAACTATCCTAATACATAAGTAGCTACCCTAGCTGTGTTGAGTTAGTTGAGCCGCAGATCTATGCGGCATTCAGTGACTGTTGACTCGTAGTCAATATCTGCAACTGTTGTCGGCTTTGGGGCAGAAGCTCTCGTTCCCCTGAGACAGAGCAAAGCCGATCGAAGGAGAGAGAAGAACAGTCGACATCTCATCCAGGCTGTAACATAACTTCTGGGCTGCTGCTTCTGTTCGGACTGCACCTCCGCGAGTCTGGCGTAGAAACATCTTGCACTTGGTCCCATCCCACCAGAGGTTGTGAACGCCAGAGGAGTGAAGCTGCCTTGATCAACATTTTGAATTCTCTCCCTATATGTCCTTATCTTATCTTATCTTATTATTATTATTATCATCATTGTATAGAAGGTGTTTGTTCAATAGTAATCTTAAAACCCTTGTAATAAAATAACAAATCTTTATTTTATTAGTTGTCAGTGAGTCATTCTTCCTACTGTAAAAGGTTCAGTCTGGGTTACTTCCCTTCCTGATCCAGGTTGACCTTTGTCGCTTTGTCATTCTCTTGTCGTTCACAATGACTTTTAACTCTCTCCTTAGCACACACATCCTTACAAACTCAGTCATGAATAGGTTGTAACTTTTCTTTTCGATTCGCTCATTACAACAGTATCATCTGTAAACACCAGCTGAGGTTGCTCCCATCTCTCTCTCTCTCTCTCTCTCTCTCTCTCTCTCTCTCTCTCTCTCTCTCTCTCTCTCTCTCTCACCATTTACACCTCTTTTTATGATGCAAAACTTCAGGAAAGACAGTTGTAACTCTGTCGTGTTTGTTCCTCCGTCAGTGACCAAGTTGGTGGGGAGTGACCCGGTGGAGTTCGACCACAGGGAGTATGTTACTGAAGTGCCGGAGAACACCACCCACGACCTGCTGCTGCGTCTGACTGCCCGGGTCCAGGTCCCAGGTAGGTCCAGGTCCAGGTACACCACCACCACCCACGACCTGCTGCTGCGTCTGACTGCCCAGGTCCAGGTCCCAGGTAGGTCTAGACAAAGAAATAAATAGATAAACAAATAAGTAAATACGATCCATAGGCATATTACTGTAGGGAGAATAGACGTAAATAACAAACTTGATAAACAGGGAACTTGGGGCACGTTAATGAGGCTGACAGGGAAGCAATTAATACCGTCAAAGAAAAGGTGACAGAATTAATGAGCGGAAGTGACAGGTTATTTTTTCTAGGAGGAGGGAGACGGCCGGGGGGAGGGGGGTGGAGTGGGAGGAATGAGGCACGTGATAACCTTTTCTGTTAAGGGGGTGTGTGTGTGTACGTGTGTGTGTGTGTGTGTGTGTGTGTGTGTGTGTGTGTACGTGTGTGTGTGTGTGTGTGTGTGTGTGTGTGTGTGTGTGTGTGTGTGTGTGTGTGTGTGTGTGTGTGTGTGTGTGTGTGTGTGTGTGTGTGTGTGTGTGTGTGTGTGTGTGTGTGTACGTGTGTGTGTGTGTGTGTGTGTGTGTGATTCATCCTCATTAAACGGTGAGAAGCAGGTGTAGATCTCATCGTGTATTCAATGCTCCAGGTGTTTCTAATATACAGTATATCCACTCAGTAAACTCACCTTACCTAGCGCCTTCAATGCTCGAGAACCACACAATCTTGCCCTTATATATTTGGACACAATTTTACTTCACTCTAACCTATATAGTAAGTAATATAGCCCTTATATATGTTGTATATTTTTAACTCCTTAATATTTACTTACGGGTTATTTGTAGGATATAGCTTATATAAGATTAAGTAGTAAATTAATTCTTCACTCAATGTTTAATGGGAATATTTTTGTCTTCTAAATATATGATTATAAAATACTTACAGGAATAAATAAAAAGTATGATATAATTTTTTACTTATGGTACAGATTTGTATTTTTTTCAAGTGTTTAATTCCAAATACCTTCACATTTTTTCATATATATCCGTATGGTAATTTGTAATAAGGGGGGAATGTGTCTTATCATGTGTCTGGCCTCCGACTGTCTATACGTAATGGTGAGATAAATTAAACTGAAATTCTTCCTTTGATATGATTTTTTTTCGCTTGCATCCACTTCCTCCACCTCACCCTCCACATCCACCTACTCTTCCTCCACCTCCTCATTTTCCTCTTCTTCCTCCTCTACTACAAATATCACCCCCAACCACCACCCACCTTCCCCCATCCCCCATCCCCCACCCCCCACCTCCGGGTAGCCTCCACATTGTCTCCGTGACCCTTTGTTCAACAGTTCCCGGAAAACGTGACCTATTCTGTAAGGAGCCATCAGGATATGAATCTAAACGTCACAACAGAGGCATCGAGTGAGAGTTAGCTTTTGTGAGAGTTAGCTGATGTGTGTGTGTGTGTGTGTGTGTGTGTGTGTGAGTTAGCTGGTCTTGTGAGAGTTTGTTGGTGTGAGAGGTACTGTGAGCCTTGACTAGTGTGAGAGGTATTATGAGAGCTGGTGTGTGAGAGTTAGCTGAGGTTGTGTGTGAGAGTTAGCTGGTGTGTGAGAGTTAGCTGGTGTGTGTGAGAGTTAGCTGTGTGAGGTAGTGTGTGAGAGTTAGCTGGTGTGTGTGTGAGAGTTAGCTGTGTGTGAGAGTTGGTGTGTGTGAGAGTTAGCTGTGTGTGTGAGAGTTATGGTGTGTGTGAGGAGTTAGCTGGTGTGTGTGAGAGTTAGCTGGTGTGTGAGAGTTAGCTGGTGTGTGTGAGAGTTAGCTGGTGTGTGAGAGTTAGCTGTGTGTGAGAGTTAGCTGGTGTGTGTGAGAGTTAGCTGGTGTGTGTGAGAGTTAGCTGGTGTGTGAGAGTTAGCTGGTGTGTGTGTGAGAGTTAGCTGTGTGTGAGAGTTAGCTGGTGTGTGAGAGTTAGCTGGTGTGTGTGAGAGTTAGCTGGTGTGTGAGAGTTAGCTGTGTGAGAGTTAGCTGGTGTGTGAGAGTTAGCTGGTGTGTGTGAGAGTTAGCTGGTGTGTGTGTGTGAGAGTTAGCTGTGTGAGTGTGTGAGAGTTAGCTGGTGTGTGAGAGTTAGCTGGTGTGTGTTAGCTGGTGTGTGTGAGAGTTAGCTGGTGTGCTGGTGTGTGAGAGTTAGCTGTGTGTGTGAGAGTTAGCTGTGTGTGTGTGAGAGTTAGCTGGTGTGTGAGAGTTAGCTGGTGTGTGTGAGAGTTAGTGTGAGAGTTAGCTGGTGTGTGTGAGAGTTAGCTGTGTGTGTGAGAGTTAGCTGGTCTTGTGAGAGTTTGTTGGTGTGAGAGGTACTGTGAGCCTTGACTAGTGTGAGAGGTATTATGAGAGCTGGTGTGTGTGTGTGAGAGTTAGCTGGTGTGTGAGAAAGCTGTGTGAGAGTTAGCTGGTGTGTGGTGTGTGTGTGAGAGTTAGCTGGTGTGTGAGAGCTGGTGTGTGTGAGAGTTAGCTGGTGTGTGAGAGTTAGCTGGTGCGTGAGAGTTAGCTGGGTGTGTGTGTGTGAGAGTTAGCTGGTGTGTGAAAGTTAGCTGTTGTGTGAGAGTTAGCTGGTGCGTGAGAGTTAGCTGGTGTGTGTATGAGAGTTAGCTGGTGTGTGAGAGTTAGCTGGTGCGTGAGAGTTAGCTGGTGTGTGTGAGAGTTAGCTGGTGTGTGAAAGTTAGCTGGTGCGTGAGAGTTAGCTGGTGTGTGTGTGAGAGTTAGCTGGTGTGTGAAAGTTAGCTGGTCTGTGAGAGTTAACTGGTGTGTGTGAGAGTTAGCTGTTAATACACTTACTATAACTTGCTCACTCACACATACAATACCTTGTTGTATTCGTGGGAAAATACAATGTAAAAAAAAAAATACTATATATTCTATTTGATACAATACAACAAATCCAAAAATTTTATCATTTATTTTATTTCTTGTGTGTGTGTGTGTGTCTCTCTCTCTCTCTCTCTCTTGTCTATATTAAAACGAAAATCAATTAATCTTCACTTGTTTGCTAGTTTGTCTTCTCGTTTAACATCTATTTATCTTGAATTATCACTATCATTCCCCTTCTGTCCTGTAGGAGGGGGAGGGGGGAGTGGAGGCTAAAAGCTCAAAGGTAAAGCGAAAACAAAAAAAAATAGCTTAAAATGTGGATATAGTAGCGACCAAATGAACTTAGTTTGCGGTGTTGTCGCTCGCTGGGACCATTCAATGTGCTGTTGGGGAGATTACACTTGTATCCTAAAAGCCAGTGATGTGTTTACTGCCCTGTGGAGTGAGGGGGTCGATCAGCACTGGCCCGAAGACTCCTGCCATCATCGACCCCTCCCCCTTCCCTCCTCTCCCCCAACTCCAAACCCCTACCCACCCCATCCCACCCCATCCTACCCTATCCCATCCCATCCCACCCAAAAAATAACTAACTAAAGACCTCCTACTCTTCTTCCCCCCTCTTCCTTTTTTCATAATTCTCCTCCTCTTCTTCTTCTTCCTCCTCCTCCTCCTCCTCCTCCTCCTCTTCCTAATCTCTTTTCTCCTTCTCCTCTTCGTATTCTTCTTCCTCATCCTTCTCCTATAATCCCCTCCTCTTCCAAATCTTCTTCTTCCTCCTCCTCTTCCCCTTCCTTCCTCATCTTCCCCTTCCCCCTCTTTCCTCCTCCTCCTGCTGTAGCCTCCATCACAGAGAGGTTCTACAGTAACGCCTTCCTTATCTCCTCTCTATTGTGTTTTAGTTGACAGAAGGTGTGGAGGAAGTTAGGAGAGTTTTTACCAAGATGATATATTGTGTTGGTGTGTAGGGGAGGGGGATGAAGATAATAATACTATATATAGGTGGATATGGTCGAAACTCTGGAGGTGGGACTGATGGCGATGGTTCTTATGCTTCGTGTCGTATAGTGTGTGTGTGTGTGTGTGTGTCTGTTTGTATCTTCAAAAGGTCTCCTCCTATTGTGTCTCCTTACTCCCCTTGCTCCAACCACTCTTCAGGACACACACACACACACACATGGCTTCAGTTTCTCACCAGGAGACTGTGTAAAGGTAAGTAATAAAGAATACATATTTACCATATTCTTCCCTGATATATCTTCTAGTAATATACCATAATAACTCTATAGCCACCGCCTGTTATGTAAATCTCTCATAGTTCATCTTTAGTTGTGTGTGATCCAAGACTTCATAATTCTCTCATCTATAACTCTATCTGCCAAGAACTCGTCATTCTGTTTGTGTATCTGAAAACTCATCAATGGAGCATCAACAACTCTTCATCATTCTGTCATTTATAGCTGTAGGTTTCAACGGTTCATTATTCTAACATCTATACTTCATGTGTCTTCTCTTGGTTTTTTTCTCACTCGAGTTGTTTGTCTTCTCGCTATAGACGCCTCCCTGGTGTTCGTTATCACAAAAGGAAACGAGGCGGATCACTTCTGGCTGCACCCCATTACTGGCAGTCTCTCCATCCGCTCCCCGCTGGACTATGAGACACAACAAGAGGTAATGCTGATTTGTTTTTGATGTTCATGTCGTTTCTATCTCTTGATTCTATTTTTATGTTGTCGATGCTCCGTTGTTTATTTTGTTGAGAGATTTATAGTTTTATGTTCTTTTGTTTTATATTTTGGTGGCACCTATTAGTTGTCGCTCCTCTTTTGTTTTTTTGTTAGTTATTTTTCAATGCTCTTTTTTTTATATATTTTTATGACTAATGTTCGATGGTCTTTTCTATATTATTTATACGACAAATGTTCTGTGCTATTTAATCTCTTTTGTATGGGGTTTTGTTTACGCTTTTCAATTCTCTTATATATTTTATTTATTTATTTTTTTTTTGTTGAATCGTGAGCGTTAGTGAAAGGTGAAACAAAAACAAACTTCCTTTTATCACTGTGCCATCACTCTCACGCCTCTTCTTCCTCCTCCTGCCAGAACTTACCCTTCACAAACACGAAATTTTCCCAACATTTCCGGCCAAAACACCGAGGTAGGTGGAGTGAAAACGCTCTTAATAGCTTTTATTGTTCTCCAGCTTCATAAAATGTTTCACAAAATAAAATATCTCCTGATATGGCTGCACCATTAGACGCGAATTGTGTTTGGAATTTAGTTATAGCTTGAGAGAAGGTGTTGAGGTCAGTGTGTTCACCAATGGGAGTGCGGTCATTGTAAACATCCAAAGAAAATGGTCCACCGAGATTTAACGGTAACGTGTGAGTATTATCGACTATATATTGGTTCTTGTATACCCAGAGAGTTTTATTTCTCATAATTTTCGATTGATGATAAATTTGTCTAATTAATGACCGTATTACGTGCTTAAATACCTTAGTTGTTGAAGTGCAGTAAAAGCATAATATCAACTATCTCCAGGGGACAGTGAGCATTTTCTCACTATCAAATACCGGGAATTACATAAAATTACAAATTATCGTCAAATAATCCCGAGTATTAGGTATTATCAGTCATCATTACCGAGTATTACTGATATTTTCGTGATGTAAACACTATAATTCAACACTCTAAAGAATTACTAAGACTTACGAAGCATTACCTAAAACCACTGGGTGTTAAATTACATCATCTATAATTAACAGAATAAGCAATAATAAACGATGACAAACCACACTGAACCAACCTTACTAAAGCGTAATACTTGAAGGAACTCGAAGCTCAACGTTATGCTTTCCAACTGCCCAAAATAACAGTGCCTGGCCTCGTCTTTTCTACCTAACATGTATAAGTGATGAATAAATTACTCTTCTCGTCCTTCTGCAGTACACGTTGGTGGTGGAGGCCCGGGCGGGGGAGGCGAGGAGCGAGGCGAGGGTGGTGGTGAGGGTGAAGGACCAGAACGACCACGCCCCCGTCTTCCCTAGGTCCCTCCACGAGACTCAGATCACCGAGGAGGACGACCGGCATCTCCCTAAGGTCATCCTCACGGTAAGGGGGTCATTTTCTCTCTCTCTCTCTCTCTCTCTCTCTCTCTCTCTCTCCTGGTATATCCCCATCAATTGCAACCAAACTATACCTTCCCAGTACCTTGGTTCTCCCATTTCCCTCCTGCAGCAGGTGACGGCTACGGACGGGGACGCTGGAGAGTACGGACGACTACGTTACAGTCTTTCGGGCGACGGTGTCAACACTAATGGGTCCAGGGCTGCCTTCGCTATAGACCCAGTGACCGGTGCCATTCAGCTGTTGAGGGTGAGTGAGTGAGTGTGTGTGTGAGTGAATGAGTGTGTGTGTGAGTGAGTGTGTGAGTGAGTGAGTGTGTGTGCTGTTTTATTTTAGGAGAGAAGAAGAGAAAGTGGAATGGGAAGGTGAAAGAAAGGAAGAGAAAAATGGAGAAATGGAAGGAGAGGGGGTGAAGGAGAACGAGAGAGAGAGAGAGAGAGAGAGAGAGAGAGAGAGAGAGAGAGAGAGGTGACACTGGGGAAAAAAAATAATGAGAAAAAATAAAAAAGTGAGTGAGTGAGAGAAAGAAAACAAAATACTTAGACAGATTACAAAAAAAAAATAGAAAAACAAAAAGATCAGTAAAGAAATATGACACAATACTCACAATAGAAGATGATGTACAGCCTATAGGTTAATTATTATACAATACATTATTTATGGGGTGACCTTAAAAAAAAAAATCACAGTTAACATGACACAAGTTATTATAATGCCACAGACACACTATTAGCGGCCCTGGTAAACACATAGACTCAGAAATGGTATGAGTCTTAGGGCTGAGTCAGGTATGATCTGAAAAAGAAAATGAAGATAACATTAAAGTTATCTTGTGTACTGACTGTTATTTGTTATATGTGTTGATGAGTTTCTGATTACGACAATACTACATAAATAAAATCAACAAAGTCATTACCACATAACTAAAATACCTATTAAGAGAAAACCACTGAATATAAAATAAAACTCTTCATATTATATAATTTAAAATAACAAATTTGGGTTAGATATATTGATCAAGAGACGAATAACAGTCTTGGATGGTTTAACTTTGAGGTATTACTAAAGAAAAGACCCATAGCTATCGAGGCTTAGTACATCTGCATGACAAAGACTCACTCATCACACTACTGAGCATCAAAGGCTCATTGAAGTTTATAGTGCTAGATGAGGGAGCCTTTATCGCCCTTATCTCCATTACAAGTAGACTCCTCTATCTCTCTGTCTCTCTCTCACATTCTCTTCCTCATCCTTCTCTCTCTCTCTCATTCTCTTCCTCATCCTTCTCTCTCTCTCTCATTCTCTTCCTCATCCTTCTCTCTCTCTCATTCTCTTCCTCATCCTTCTCTCTCCCTCTCATTCTCTTCCTCATCCTTCTCTCTCATTCTCTTCGTCATCCTTCTCTCTCTCTCATTCTCCTCATCCTTCTTCTCTCTCTCTCATTCTCTTCCTCATCCTTCTCATCCTTCTCTCTCTCATTCTCTTCCTCATCCTTCTCTCTCCCTCTCATTCTCTTCCTCATCCTTCTCTCTCCCTCTCATTCTCCTCCTCATCCTTCTCTCTCTCCATCCCACATCCTCCTCCCCCCTGAAAGCAGTCTTGATGATAACACAATATACATTACCTAAACATTCACATAAACACATGATAAAGAGATTAATTACATGTCTGATGGTACAGTATGTATTGCATGTTTATTCTACCTGTTGTGTGGTTTAATTACCTGCCCCACCTGTCTCTTGAGGGTAAACACGTAATACACAGCTGGGAATGGCGAAATAATGCACACCTGAGTATTAATTTACACAGGTGAACTTAAATGATGAGAGAACAATTCCCAAATCGGTAACATATTTTTTTTTTTTAGTTGTTTTGTTTATATTCAATTGTAGACTTAATGTAGTTGTGATATTGTTGGAATATTTGGTGTTAATACTGATGCATCACATAGGCCAAATTTTTGAGAGTATCCATAGGTAACAGATTCATTAGCTTCAGTCATTGTCGGGTTACTGAGCCTCCCAAGCAACCCGTGATAGAAATATATATACGTATTGTAAATTGGTTTTCAATAATGTAAATAGTTATGGAGATGAGTGTTAGGAGGACACGGGGCGCGGGTGTTGGTGAGGCCCTCAGTACAAGCTCCTGTGATTGGTTTGGTTGGTGTACATATATGAATATATGTATGTTTGTATTTATGTATGTGTATCTGTATGTAAGAGTACTTGTGTGAGTGTTTACAAGCATGGTGTTTGTGTACACTATTAATGTGACGTCAGAACCCTGTAACCATCACCACCAGCCGGCTCAGTGGTCACTTCCCCCCTCCCCAGCCACTGGACAGGGACCCCCCACACGGACGGGCTCAGTGGCTCCTGAGGGTGACGGCGACGGACGGGCAGCTGGAGGCGCACACCGACGTACGCGTCAACCTGAAGGACGTCAACGACAACGCCCCTTACTTCCCCGCCCACACCACCACCGCCTCCATCTCCGAGGACACACCCAAAGGTATATATATATATATATATATATATATATATATATATATATATATATATATATATATATATATATATATATATATATATATATATATATATATATATATATATATATATATATATATATGTAACCGGTCGGAATTTACTGGACTTTATTTTCTCACTTGACTTGGGGTTTATTAAAGATTATTAGATGGTAATGGCAGTGGAAGCGCCCCTTAGTGAGAAATCCCGAACCAGCACAAGAGCACTTAAATTTACTAACAAAATGAATTGTCCGTGACCCGTGGAAGGATAGCGTCTGTGACTGGGATGAATGAGACACACTGTAAATTTTAGACACTTATATTCCCTCCAACTACAAACACAATCAAATAATGGTGCACCAATATGCGCACCTCTTAACTTGAACTTAAAACACTACTCTGGGGAATAAAAGTTATACATGATATTGAAATTATTAGAAACTCAGGCAACAATAAATTTAAAGTATTAAGAAATGTTGCTTGCACACATGAAACAGGCCTTAAGGGTTTTCACAGAATAATATCCACCACTGCGGAAGTGGTATAAAAATAAGAAATTATTAATTCCACCATGAATAGGCCTAAAGGGCACTCAATATAATTATGTTACACCAACAGATGCAGGCCTTAAGGGTTTTCAACAAAATAATATCAGTCACTGAGGAAATGGTATTAAAAAATAAGAAATTAAATACTCTACAATGAATAGGCCTTAAGGGCACTCAATATAATTATGTTACACCAACAGATGCACACCTCCTAACCTAACTTAAACACTACTCTGGGGAACAAAGGTTATATCTGAGATTGAAACTATAAAGAAATTTTAAATGCACACAGCATACATTAGTAACTGAAAAAATAGTATTAACTACACACAAAAATATTGTCACTATTATAAAGACGTTACTGAGTCCAATACCCGTGAACCATGCTCCCTAACCTAACACACACACAGATTCCACCTGCACTCCGTAGTCGTTTAAGGCACAACCAACAGGCACCCGTAGTTGAAGGCCCAAATCAGCCTTTCTCCACCTTGGAAAGTGTACCTCTAAACTCCACTGACTCTTGGCCCCAGTGTGCGACCCTGTATCACTCAGCTAGCTTCACTTTACCCCCCGGTACATCCATAAAGCGGAAGGGAGTGAGCCAATCAGACCTTGTACATTTGAGAGAAGCTTTAGCTTCCCGTTAGCAAGAGGGTTTCACTAAGCTGCTTGAAACATGTGGTATTGTGAGCTGAGGTAGAGGAGAGCTGATGACCCCAACGATCGTCCCGTCGTCAGCTGGGCACCCAGACGGCTAGATTCCCTCAAGAGATCCTTTGATACCCCGCTAAACAGTGACAGGCCTACACTGATCGGTCCAATGGCGACAATCGCCACCCTCAATCATCAACGGCAGTCTCAAACGGCAGTCAATCTCTCGCAGTCAAGTGGGTTCTGGCGGAAACCCTGAAATGAACTCACTGTTAGCTCTAGTTTACTTTATCACTGCCCTATCTAAACCCTGTCTGAGATTGAATGAGACTTACTTGTTATACTGCAATAGCGCAACACAGGTGACTAGACCACGTGACTATTTCTGTGGACGGACGCGCAGGGATGTCCTGTAAGTCCAATCGCTTTCACGTGACTGAGGACCAGCCAGCGTCGCGTCTCTCCAAGGCGCTAGCTTAGGCCTACGTGACATATTTTCCGCCTAACTAATAACTCCTTGGGACACCCGTGACATTATTCAGACTGATAAACGATCTATAATAATTTCAAATTCAATAATAGTCCCTTAACTTCATGAATCGCATCATTATTAATTCGGCAAATTACATTTAATATCACTTAGGCCTAGTTCCACAACCTCTCGCTATGTGCAGGGAGCGCTCTCTTCCCTCCGACGACCTTGAAAGCTCAGTATCGCCAATGGCGCGTGTTTGAAATTTCTGAATATTACATATATATATATATATATATATATATATATATATATATATATATATATATATATATATATATATATATATATATATATATATATATATATATATATATATATATATATATATATATATATTAAATTCTATGGTACAAATATAAAATGGACTGCACCAACCTTACAGTACAGTGGTAATTAATGTAACATATACCATGCATACGTAACAATTTAATTTATACAATATGCAACATCAGCCAGCCCCCACTGTGTACAACATGTGTGCGGCCTCTTTATGCAACATGCGCCCACTGGAACTTTAGTCATGTGATCACTCCAAATGTGTCCCCAGGTACTATGGTGGCCCAGATGGTGGCGACGGACCACGACGACCCTGACGAGGGCTACAACGCCCAGCTGGTGTACTCACTCGAGAAGAATGTGATCGACGAGTCGTCCGGCAGCGCCATCTTCAGTATAGACAATCAGCTGGGCCTCATCACCACGGCGCTCTGCTGCCTCGACCGTGAGAAGACCCAGAGGTACACCATCCAGGTGGTGGCTACTGACGGAGGTGGCCTCAAGGGTGAGTGTACCACAGGTGGTGGCTACTGACGAAGGTGGCCTCAAGGGTGAGTGTACCACAGGTGGTGGCTACTGACGGAGGTGGCCTCAAGGGTGAGTGTACCACAGGTGGTGGCTACTGACGGAGGTGGCCTCAAGGGTGAGTGTACCACAGGTGGTGGCTACTGACGGAGGTGGCCTCAAGGGTGAGTGTACTACAGGCAGCTCTAGGGTAGGTGTACCACAGTGTACCGCGGGCAGCCTCCGGGGTGGGTGTACCACAGTGTACCGCAGGCAGCCTCCGGGGTGGGTGTACCACAGTGTACTACGGTTTCTTTTTGTTTAAGTTTGTATACAAAGGTTCGTTTACGAGTGAAATTAAGTGATCTTAAGTACAGTAATTACTATATTATCACTAACGTTTCCTTATTGTTAAGTAATAGTGTGTCAGGTGTGCTAATTGTGTCAGGTGTGTCAGGTGTCGCCCCTTGGCTCCCCCAGGTACAGGGACGGTGGTGGTGGAGGTGCAGGACGTGAACGACGTGCCACCGAGGTTCTCACGCTCTGAGTGGACGCTGGACGTGTCCGAGAGCCTCACCCCCGACCACGTCCTGGCCACCCTCACCGTCGTCGACCAAGACGTGTCCAACAACTTCTCCTACAGGGTCAGTACCTCCCCCACACCCACTCCTACAGGGTCAGTACCTCCCCCACACCCACTCCTGAAGGGCCAACTCCTCTACAGCGAAGTAATAGAGGCCTATAAAAAATATAGTAATCCTATTATAGTTATGAACAGCTGTGTTGTATTACATGATTCTCGAGGCCTTGTTATAATGAACCGCTATATCTCAGGTAGTGTGAGGTGATGTGCCTTATGTGTTACAGCGTCCACACGTGTTTTATATTAACACAACCACCTCCTGTGCCCGCCTCAGATAGTGCCAGGTAGTGGTCGGGGGTGGCAGATGTTCCGTGTGGATGGTCGACGCCGGGGTATGCCAGGAGGGGACCTGCGGACGGTGACACCTCTGGACTACGAGAATCCCAACCACAGACGAGGATTCCGCTTCAGGGTAGAGGTGACAGACATAGTAAGTTGTAAGAACTTTGCTGCTTCCGTACTTGACACTGTTAGCGATCCTTGAGGGGGAAGTTTGGTGTAATGGGCACTGCTGGTCTTGATCCCACTAATGTACTGTTTCTCCCGAGATGATAAACACCTTTTGGTTCAATGAAATACCTGAAAACCCCATAAAGAGTTAGTATCATCATTAGCCTATTGTTTGTATTTGTGTTATATATTAAATATATATACAAATTATCATTGACATTTTATCATCTAATGTACAGTACTAATGTGGGAAAAATATCAAACAATGACATGGTCTGTGAGGAGACTGGTCATTAATCTTCCAGTGTGTGTGTGTGTGTGTGTGTGTGTGATGATGATAATAATAATAATAATAATAATAATAATAATAATAATAATAATAGTAATAATAATAATAATAAACGGTTTATTAATAGAGTTGCAGCCGGTGGCTGAAAATATACAGACTTACATTTGATTTAGACATAATGATATAATATGCATTGAATACATTTACAGGGCTGTACAGTACATAAATCAGGAGTTGTTTATCATTTTAACAATAGATGGGATGGTGCTGTTCTTATATCTATCGGTGCGGGCTCTTATGGGCTGAATTTTGTTGTAGTGGCGGACTGCGTGAGGTGGGCGGGGGGCTGCAGGTGGCAGGAGGTGGCGATGGTGTGTGTGTGTGTGTGTGTGTGTGTGTGATACAAGAGAAGGTATTGTAACTGAGGTGTCCGCGCCAACAGGGAGAGGAAGGGTGGGGCGACAAGTATCACGTAGACGGCACTTGGGTCAACCTCCGCCTGGCCGACGACAACGACAACACGCCCACTTACGACAACGACCTCGCCGACCTCACCCTTCCTGAGGACACGCTCCCTGGCACCCTCCTCACCACCTTCACCGCCAAGGACCGTGATGGGGTGAGTTTGGCTTCCTCCTTCAGTAGGTTACTTAAGGAAAGGAGTTTTCTCGTGTGAATTCCTCTTGTCTCGGATACAGGTATCTTTTGTGTTCTTTCGTGTGTTCTTCAAGAGTGTTTACTTGTTATTTCACTGTTCTTCTCTGGTTCTTTAGGCGTTATTTCTTATTACTGCTTTGGACGTTCCATATTCTGTGTTCTACAAGGGCTGGTAACTTATGAGTCAGGCGTCTGTTTTGAGGGGGGGGAGGGTCTTACACTGTCAGCTCCTCTTGTAGTCCTTCGTCTATGAGGTCTTCCCGCTACTTCACGTTCCTGTGTGGGTCTTAAGGCGTTGGTTCCTCCTACTTCAGGCACTACAACAGAGAGTACTCGCTGACCCTGGACCGTGATGTATATTAGTAGAGAGTGTGAGGTGCTGTAGAGTAGCCGAGAGGTGATCACTATACTGCACTATTAACCTAACCTAACCTAACCACCACTAACCCTCCCTCCTGACCACACCATCAAGGGAGGACAGAGTCGGGTGCAGTACAAGATAGCGGAGGACAGTGACCCCGGGCGGCAGTTTGGGGTGGACGGGTCAGGGGCGGTGTGGCTGGTGGGCGGCCTCGACCGGGAGACAGCGGACGCCCATCGTGTGCTGGTGTGGGCGGTGGACGATGGCGTGCCGCCCAGGACCGCTACAGCCACCCTTAACGTGAGTTTTTATTGACATGTATGTATATATAATTGTACGTATGCTATCTGTGGTGTAATGGTCAGCATTCTTGTCTGCAAGCGAGCGGACCTAGGTTCGATCCCCGGGCAGGGTGAATCTATGGATATGTTTTTTTAGGACATTTGCCTCTGTCTGCCCAGCAGTAATTGGTGACCTGGATGTTAATCGATTTGCTGAACATGTTCCGGGGTAGTGGTTAGCCAGTGCAGTTAGCGAATTGTCTGTCTTCTCGGACTATCCTTGACACTGGGTCATGCAACTCGTTAACTCAGGGTGTGATTGCTGTGTTGGCGACAGCTTCTATACCTTAAACAAATGCACGCCTAGGTGGCCCTTGGGCCGGCCATCCTCGTTACACGAGGGGCATCCATTATTATAATGCATGTAAGTATGTTATGACTAGTATGTATGTATGTATGTGCAGTATATATGTATTTACTGCATGTATGTTTGTATGTGAATTTAATACATATAATTACAATCAAGGGGTGTTTGATGTCTCCCGAATAACGTGTACATTATGAGTTGTGTAAACCAAGACACGGGGATAGTGTTAACACGAATATTTATTGGGGTAAATTATTCTTATTTTAATTTCGGTGACGAAATAGTTGAGTTGAGTTTTCATCTAAAATGTTAGAATAATGCATTATGATTTATTGTTAGTGGAGGTAATTTTGTGCCTTGGGTAAGTTTAGGTTAGGTTAGGTTAGGTTAGGTTCAGCAGTAATGTGAAGTTAATTGTGCGTCAGGTGAAGGTGACGGACGTGAACGACAACCCACCGTTCCTGGCGGAGCCGCGGCAGGTGGAGGTGAGGGAGAACAGCGCGCAGTGGTGGCCTGAGACGCTGGGGACCTCGGACGACTGGCGCCAGGGTCACGGGCCACCCTTTACCCTAACCCTTGACCCCAGGGCGCCCCACCACGTCACCAGCACCTTCACCGTCACCCACGACAAGAGTGAGTTGGTAAACATATTACAAACCAAAATATCTCTCTTACACTTGATAAGATTATTTATTGTTTATGTTTTGGTTCTTGTTCTTTGTTGCCTGTGTGTATTTACATTATATTGTGGTGTAATTGATTTAGAATTTTATACATTTAGTGATTATATTTTTCACTGTGGGCCAAACTTGTACCTACACTCACAGCGCGCCTCAGCTCACCTACACTCACAGCGCGCCTCAGCTCACCTACACTCACAGCGCGCCTCAGCTCACCTACACTCACAGCGCCTCAGCTCACCTACACTCACAGCGCGCCTCAGCTCACCACACACTCACAGCGCGCCTCAGCTCACATTCTAATAAAACTGAACTCTTCCACCACCTCACTGTGTGTGTGTATCAACGTGAGGGGCTACGTAGTTGTGTATGTGTTCTCTCCTACAGAAGGGGACGAGGGGCGCGGGGTGGGCGTTGTGTGGGCGCGGGCGGGGCTGGACCGGGAGGAGCGCCGCGCCCTGCTGGTGCCGCTGGTGGTGGGCGACGCTGCGGCCGCCCTCCGCCACCGTCACCCTCACCGTCCACGTCGCCGACCTTAACGACAACCCCATGACTCCCGCCGCCAAGACTGTCACCGTCCACACCTCCAGGTCAGTCACTGTCCAGGGTCAGTCATTGTCCACACCTCCAGGTTAGTCACTGTCCAGGGTCAGTCACGTCCACACCTCCAGGTCAGTCACTGTCCACACCTCCAGGTCAGTCACTGTCCACCCTCCAGGTCAGTCACTGTCCACACCCTCCAGGTCAATCACTGTCCCAGGTCAGTCACTGTCCAGCCCACCGTCCACACCCAGTAGTCCGGGTCAGTCACTTCTCCACACCCTCACAGGTCAGTCACTGTCCACACCTCCAGGCCAGTCACCGTCCAGGGTCAGTCACTGTCCACCCTCCAGGCACTCACGTCCAGGTCAGTCACTGTCCAGGGTCAGTCACTGTCCACACCCTCCAGGTTAGTCACCGTCCAGGGTCAGTCACTGTCCACCCTCCAGGGCTAGTCACTGACCACACCTCCAGTCAGTCACCGACACACACCCTCCAGGTCAGTCACGACCACACCCTCCAGGTCAGTCACTGTCCACACCTCCAGCACTGTCCAGGTCAGTCACTGTCCACACCTCCAGGCCATCACGACCACACCTCCAGGTCAGTCACTGACCACACCTCCAGGTCACCCACTGTCCACACCCTCCATAGTCACTGTCCAGGTCAGTCATTGTCCACACCTCCAGGGTCAGTCACTGACCACACCTCCAGGGTCAGTCACTGACCACACCTCCAGGTTAGTCACTGTCCAGGGTCAGTCACTGTCCACACCTCCAGGGCACACCACCCTCCAGGGTCAGTCACTGTCCACACCCAGGTTGTCACTGTCCAGGGTCAGTCACTGTCCACACCTCCAGCCACTACACCCCAGTCAGTCACTGTCCACACCCTGCAGGTTGTCACTGTCCAGGGTCAGTCACTGTCCACCTCCAGTCAGTCACTGACCACACCCCAGGCCACCGTCCAACTCCAGGTTGCACGTCCAGGTCAGTCACTGTCCACACCCTCCAGGGTCAGTCACTGACCACACCCTCCAGGGTCAGTCGCCGGACACACCTCCAGGTCTAGTCACTGACCACACCTCCAGGGTCAGTCATTGTCCACACCTCGAGAACAGTCACTGTCCACTACTGTGTATATATGAAGTGATCATCAACCCCAGCACCAGGGGTGGTGGTGCCCCGGGATGACTCTCTCCCAGCACCAGGGGTGGTGGTGCCCTGGGATGACTCTCTCTCTCCCTCAGCACCAGGTGGTGGTGCCCCTGGGATGACTCTTCCCAACACCAGGGGTGATGGTCCCCTGGATGACTTTCTCTCTCTCAACACCAGGGTGGTGGTGCCCCTGGGATGACTTCTCTCAAAGATAGTGGATTTTCTCTCCCCAACACCAGGGGTGGTGGCTGATGACTCTCTCTCTCAGCACCAGGGGGGTGCGCCCTGGATGACTCTCTCTCCCAGCACCAGGGGTGGTGGTGCCCCTGGGGAAGGAGGGACCGATGACTGGGACTCAGCAGACAAGATCTACGCCTGGCGACACCGCCGCCAGCCTGGCTTCCTCCTCCACACCTCCACCGGCGACCTGACCATGACCCCCTGACACACCTGATGGCCGGTAGGTGAAGAAGGTGACCCTACACCCTGGTCGGTAGGTGACAGACCTCAAACCTGATGGCCGAGGTAGGTGACTCTACACCTGATGGCCGGTAGGTGAAGGTGAATTTCAAGAGAATATTCTTATGTTAACAGACATAAAGTAATATTTTGAGTATCAGTAAATCGTAATGTATTGATTCATTTATTCTTTCTTTTCCTATCTGTCTTACCCTCCTCCTCTAGCCATCAACACTCACTTCAAATAGTTACACCATAACGTACATTAGTTACCCCTCACAATTTGCGGTCACCACAGAGAATGAAAAAATACCAGTAACTCAGGTAATTTGGTATAATGGCTTACTATTCCGTTTTCAGTCGTTGAGCAAGGGAGATACTAAATAGGATTTGATAGTCTTTTTAATTAATTTGTCAATGATACTGTTGGAAGTTTGAGATGAATGGGTATTTGGAAGCAATTTCCTTTCAAAAATCGGTAATTTAGACTAATTGGGTGATCGATCGCTGGTGTTACATTTTTTATTATTTTTTTTGAGAGAGAAAGGACTATAGATACAGTATATGGGAGAGAGAGAGAAAGATCAAATTTATGGAAGTGAAGACAGAAAACAGTGGCAAAGAGAAGAAGATATATGGTAAGAGGAGAAGATAAAAATACAGATGTAGAAAGAGACTAAACGAAAGAGAACAATTAAGAGAAAGAGACGTCGACAAAAGCCAAATCGAATTTCTGTAATCGGGATATTGGCGATGAAATGGCAGTCGAATCTGGTTCACCGTGTCAGTAGTGACTTGGGAGCACTCACTCAGGCTGGCAGAGGAGGCGGTCAGTAACTGCAAGTGATTTGGTATAATGGCGCGCTATCCCACTTCCAATCTTCTCTTACGAGGAAGGCAGAAGTCAAGTGTGTGTGAGCTGATAGCCTCTGTGTTGCTGCGTCAGTATTGCTCTTGGCATTGATTGAGATATTATGCAGTGTGAGTAACTGAAGGAAACTTTATGTCAAATGTGAAATACTGAATTAGATAGAAAGATAGATAATGATCACAACAAAGTGAAGATAACAATTAAAATAAAAACAATACAAATTACGTTCATATAATTAAAAAAAATTTATACGTACAGTACAGTACAGTATATGTATTTTATGCTTCGGTGATATATACAAATTGATATAATTATGGAATGAAGTTTTTTCATAATTATATAAAATATGTTTAGTTTTATCTTTGTTTTAAATATATTTCAGTATGTTTATTATAGCTTTATTCCCATTACCAGTTACGAGTTGGCCTTCGAGGTGAGTGACTCCAGCCAGGGACAGTTTGGGGTGGAAGCCAATGTGACAGTGGAGGTCAAGTCCCTAAACTATTATGACCTGACGTATGCAACTCCTCTCGTGCTGGCTGCTGACCCCTACCACCTGGTCAAGGAGGAAGAGGTCAGGAAGAGAGAGAGAGAGAGAGACTGTGTGTGTGTGTGTGTGTGTGTGTGTGTGTGTGTGTATGTATGTATGTCAATGTACACTTTCCATAAACATTACTATAACACCAACTCTCTGCTTAATGAATACCACGTCACTAGTGCACCTCCTCCCACCACAGGCAGGAACATCTATACTGAGTCAACTGGAGGCGACCGTGCAGGCGTGGGTGGTGGGCGGCAGCGCGAGTATACGGGTGGTGTCGGTGGAAGCACTAGAGGGACTCACCATGTTCGCTCCTTTGTCCACGCCCACGCCCACACCCACACCCACCACAGCATCCCGCGTGTGGCTAGTCTCCCCCGGTGTAACCAACCTACACCACATCATCTTATACAGGAAAGAAGAGGTACAGTAAGCGGCTATAAAATCTATTGGTGCTATACTTTATAATAGAGGTACTGCAGGCAGGAAGAGGGTGAACGTTCATGTGTCGTAGATTCCATAACTGTGTCATTGTGGAGTGATAATGGTGTTTGTTGACCGTTTGAGTTATGTTGTTATATGTTACGGGAACACTGAAAACATTGTACCATAGATATAATTATAAAGCAGAGTGGTCCCTTAACTCAGTGTACATAACTAGGTTGAGTAGGTGTCACAATATGGGAATTACTTACACTTTTATCTCTGAATATACGGCACTGTCCTTTATACCGACATATATAATTGTATTGATATTTGTCAAGAAATCTTTTGAGTAATTGGGATCATGAGAGACGATGACACAACACATGGTTCAGCCAGAGACGTGAAACACATTACTGGTGTATTTTTACGCCGTCCTTAAGTCAGCTGCTGGATATAATATATCCGTCCTGAGTGTTTTGCTATTCACTGTTATGTTAGTCAGCGGTGAAGGAGTGGCCAGCGCTACACCCTCAGCACCTCCCTGGCGTGTTATTCATCTGCTGGTTTTGTTTCTGTGTGATAGCTGAGTGCTGTCCTAGGCATGGCTGTTCGGGACGTGGGCGTGGGTACCTGCCACGAAATCGTCCCTATAACGACCCAGGAGGACACCGGGGCCGCCCATGGGACCTCCTCTAGGACTGCTCGGAGAACCGCCCGTCAGGCTGCCTATAGTTGCAAGGACGGGTGCTGGGTGCGGGCGGCCTTGGGTGAGGGGTTCAGTGTGGTGGACGCCCACACCTCGGCCGTAGTGGGTCCCCGGGTGGAGGTCCTCACCACCTGTGGTTGTGGCAACACCGCACCTGCCCACCACACCATCTGCACCCCCTACACCTGCCTCAATGGCGGCAGGTGTGTGCCCACCTCCACGGGCACCAGGTGAGTTAAATAAGCATTTATCTTAGACTGTGTAAGAAACAACAATGACAAGTGAAATATATTGTAAGGTGTACAGTAGATGTCACCATCACACCTGTTGTAAGGTCATTATCTCAACACAGGTGTACAGTAGATGTCACCATCACACCTGTTGTAAGGTCATTATCTCAACACAGGTGTACAGTAGATGTCACCATCACACCTGTTGTAAGGTCATTATCTCAACACAGGTGTACAGTATATGTCACCATCACACCTGTTGTAAGGTCATTATCTCAACACAGGTGTACAGTATATGTCACCATCACACCTGTTGTAAGGTCATTATCTCAACACAGGTGTACAGTATATGTCACCATCACACCTGTTGTAAGGTCATTATCTCAACACAGGTGTACAGTATATGTTACCATCACTCCTGTTGTAAGGTCATTATCTCAACACAGGTGTACAGTATATGTCACCATCACACCTGTTGTAAGGTCATTATCTCAACACAGGTGTACAGTATATGTCACCATCACTCCTGTTGTAAGGTCATTATCTCAACACAGGTGTACAGTATATGTCACCATCACACCTGTTGTAAGGTCATTATCTCAACACAGGTGTACAGTATATGTCACCATCACACCTGTTGTAAGGTCATTATCTCAACACAGGTGTACAGTATATGTTACCATCACTCCTGTTGTAAGGTCATTATCTCAACACAGGTGTATATGTCCCCACAACACCTGGGGTTCCCGCTGTAAGGTGGTCATCAGACACTTCGAGGGTGGTGGGGGCGGGTGGGCGTGGGTGCCGCCCATCCCGCACTGTACCGAGGTCCACCTGAGTATGGAGGTGCTCACCAGGTCTGGGGCGGCCACCCTGCTGTACTCGGGGTCAGACCAGGGGGCGGCGGGGGCTGTTAGTGACCTGCTGCTGCTGGAGCTGCGTCAGGGCCGCCCCTCCCTCCTGCTGGATCTGGGGGGCGGCCCCGTCACCCTCGTCCTCAACGCCTCTTACTCCCTCGCTGACAACACCTGGCACAGGATCGACCTCATCTGGAAGGACCAGGTGAGTAACACGGGAGGTTGTCAACCCATATAATAATACTCAAGCTCTTATGAAGAGCAAATATATTTCAAAGTTACAGTAAATAACAACTAAATACAAAGTGTCGTGGGTGAGTACCAAAGGCAGACCTTCAATGGTTGTGAGGGGAAAAAATCTTGAGTGGCTACAACACGGAGGAAAACATGACAGAATTAGACACAGTTGACCTTCAGACAGTGTGACCAACTTAGATCAATATCAGTGTTTCCGACATATAATTAACAGCATATGTCTCTCAAGTGCCTGACCTTCAGAAGTAATGTATTTAGACTAAGTGTTTCAGTTCAAACTGAGAACTCAGTTTGGTGAAATCTATTAAGGGAGAGTGATGATAAATGGCATCGTCTCCTTTGGTTAACATTTACAGTACTACATATTCTCTCTCCCCCATCTTCACTCTCTTTCCTCACCCTCATTTTCCTTTACTTTCTTTTGCCTTGTCTCTTCCTCTTCTTTCCTAATATTTCCTTTACTTCATCTTCTCTTCTTCTTTCCCTCGTCTGTACCAATACCTACGTCTCTCCCCTTCCCTCGCATCTGTCTTCCTCACCCCTAGTTATCAACCTCCTCTTTACCCCACAGTTGGTGGAAATGATCGTGGATTTGTGTACTGGTGGTAGCTTAAACGAGCCGCCCATACTGCCAGCCAACCCCGCCCACAACCACTCAGCCTCGTCCATCCTTCCCGACGCCCACACCTGTCGGGGCGCCGCCAGACTGCCCCAGGGTACCCGGGTCCTCAATGCTGGTGGGCCTCTGCAGGTGGGCGGGCTAGCTCACCCACCCTCCGCTCATATCCTGCAGGGTAACCCGTCGTCCCCCCGCCCACCTCACTTTCATGGTTGCATCAGGAACCTCAGAGTGAATAGCCAGGTAAGGGATGATGTTTTGTTTCACGGAGTAGAGAGAGACAAACAAGGAGAAAGATGTAAATAGACAAGACCAAAGTCAGAGAAACATCAAGAGATAATAAACAATAATAACCATTAATCGTACGCCTGGCAAACACATCACCCACGATGTCTGTAGGTCGGCGGCCACCAGTAAGTAAAGATCTGTAAGTATATATCTGAATGGCACAGCTAAAACCACACTAGACAAGCAAGCAAGGAAAAATACGACGGTAGAGAGGTGATAAAGTGAAGTGATTAAAGGAGAGACAAAGAGAGAGGAGCAGTAAGACAGAAACAAAACACAGTCCTACACCTCGGCTAAGAACAACAAGGGACTCAGACATCGTATACTGCACTGCTGTAGTGAATCACCACTTTTCACCAGTACTAGCTCAGCCGTGCACGACCGACGCAGTGAAATGACGCTCACCAACAGCTAAACTATCTCTTTTACGGCTTTTTCCTCCCTCATGAGCGTAATAAGATGACCAAGTGTAACTTTACTATAATTATTTAAGGTTACGTATGTTGCAGACAGACCGATACTCAGATAATTACATTATTTGTATGTTTATTTTCATTCATTAATTTAGATTGAACTCAGGACGTCTGCCTCATGTACCAAAAAACCATGAACTCTACATTACCCCTTAACTATGTAGTGTAAACAGCCCTTCATCATCCTCCCTTTCCCCTTCCCTAACACAACACCCCCTCCACTTTCCCCCCACCTTCCCTTACCCCCATTAAACCTCTCCCTCACTTAAGTGGAGATAACCAATTACCATAATAATATAAATGTGTCTCTGTCTGTCTGTGTTGAAATATTATAAAGCAAATGTTTGTTTTTTCATACATTCCTTCTTTACAGTGAAATGGGGAAACGCAACACCGTAGACTTCAAAACACAAAGAGAAAATAATTATGTTCCAGTCATTACCACAAAGATTATCAATGATTCTCATATACGTGTTACATCATTTTAATAATTGTGAGACTTTTCAACAAGACGAGTTAGCTCCCCTAAGAGCTTCCAAGAGACACAGGTTATTACCACGGTACAGTCACTCTAGAAACTATCTGTACTTGGGGTGATTGATGAATTTCAGAATGAACGCTACGACTCCTGTTGTCTCAGTAGGGTTGTCAAAATCCTTCGTCTGTTGTGTCGTATTTTTTCAACACAATTTTGTATAGATAGTTTTTTGAGTGTGCATGTGGCTACATTATTTTCAGAGTTTATTTTTTCTCTCCCTCAGCTGGTGAACCTGGGTAGTGAGGTACTGGGGTAATCCATGTGTTTCCCTCAGCTGGTGGACCTGGGTAGTGAGGTACTGGGGTAATCCTTGTGTTTCCCTCAGCTGGTGAATCTGGGTAGTGAGGTACTGGGGTAATCCTTGTGTTTCTCTCAGCTGGTGGACCTGGGTAGTGAGGTACTGGGGTAATCCTTGTGTTTCCCTCAGCTGGTGAACCTGGGTAGTGAGGTACTGAGGTAATCCTTGTGTTTCCCTCAGCTGGTGGACCTGGGTAGTGAGGTACTGAGCCGCGCCAGCTCTCCCGGGTGTGTCGCTGCTGACTGTCTCTCCAGCGGCCTCTACTGTGGCCTTCACGGCAGGTCAGTCACTCAACTACAGGTGGGTGTGTGGGATGGCAGGTGTGTGGGATAACAGGTGTGTGGATTGGCAGGTGTGTGGTATAACAGGTGTATAGATGGGCAGGTGTGTGGGATGATAGATGTGTAGATGGGAAGGTGTTTGAAATAGAATTAAGCGTCATTCTCTCTCACTCCAGTTTGTGTGATTCCATATTAAATGATGCTGTACTTTTACACTCCTCTCACTAATGACTCACCGAGGTCCCCTCTCCTCCTCTGACTCGTTACCGCCATCCCCGACCTGGTGAAGTGGTTCTGGCGAATGATATCAAGTGGATCAGAGTGAGTGAGTGTATTTAATGAGTGTATAGATCATATGACGCTTTGATACTATAAAAAGGATGGCAGAAAGATTTTGTTTACTACTACTACTACTACTACTACTACTATTACTACAACTACTACTACTACTATTACTACTACTACTACTATTACTACTACTACTACTACTACTACTACTACTATTCGTATTATCATGACCATTTACATCATAATAAAACACCTTCGGAATAGGTCTGTATATAAACAAGACAATGCTTATTTTAGTCAGAATGTCAATACCGACTGACCTGTATAATGATTTGTTGTGACGCTGTACCGTCATTGTAGTTTATCAGGGTTACAAATACATTATACCATACGTGTTATATAATTTTTTGAGGGGTTGAATAATATAAATTGTTCTTTATCCATGTCTTTTATAGTATTTAGCTCTTAGTATGTATAAATCATTTGTCGGAACACTTAGAGTGAAGTAAAAAATATTTAGATATATCACTGATGGAGGACTCAAACACAGCACTTCCTCTCCCTCCCTCACTCCGTGTCATGAGTAAATGTAGCCCTCTTACCTCCTTCTCATTCTTTTCTCCTCTTCCTCCTCCTCCCCCTCCTCTTCCTCTCCTTTATTATTCTACTTTGCTCTCTCAGCTCACCTCCTCCTGCCTCCTCCTTCTCCTGTTTCTCCTTCCGTGTTTCATCTCCTCTCTCCCCTTTCATTTTCTTGTCATTCCACTCCTCCTCACTCCTCCTCCATCCTCTTCCACTTTCCCCTCCCAGAGAGTTGAGGAATGTCATCTCAGCTCTATTAAAGCATCCTAGCCTAACATAGCTACGTAGATAACTGTGTTCCCCGCTTTAATTAACAGAGCCTCTAACAGTCTAACACGGTAACGATGGCAATGCTCCTCAGGGTGGCTATATTTTATGACTGTATGGCGCCCACTCCCCCCCCCGTTACTAAATATACTTCTGGAAATGGTTAAACATCATCGTATTTTCGAGTAAATTCTATTATTTGATCGTAATGTTTTAACGTCGGATCGTTTATTCTGTATTTTGTTGCCAAGTGAGGTGTTTAATTTTGATTTATTTTACTTTGTTTTGTTTTGATTTGCTTTTCTCGAATTGATTGTCGAAGTCTAAATAAAATAGGTTTTTGTTTGTTTGTGTCTCTACAGTTCTTGGTTACATAGTATAAACTCCTTAATTTTGTTATCGAATAAATTATGTCGTCTTGATTTACATGTGGATTTTTTATTATTAGTTAGGTTCTGTTTTAATATTTTCTTTGATATATATTTTTTTTTTTCGATGGTGGGTTTGTTATTTTTGTAGTCAGATGTTCGTGGGTCTACCAGGGAGAGTGTATATAAAAAGTGACCGGCGCTATAAAGGTTTACAGTAGATGAACAAAAGAAGTTTACAATAAATGAATAGGAGAAGTTAACAATAAGTGAACAAGAGAACATTTTCCAGGATCGTTGAATGTAATTAAACCGTGGTGTTAATTTTACGCTCTGTTGGGTAAATGAGTTTTTGATATCCTAACTAACTGAAACTTTTTAGCATTGCACAGCACACCTCTAAGATACTTGGCTGTGTTGTTATAGAGATTAATATGTTTTTACAGGGTACAGAATATTCTTTTTATCTGGTCCTCTCCTCTCCTGACACAACGAGTGGTTTGGTGTACCAATAAAGTGTTTATTCATATTATTTCATAAGGTGTAGTCGTCACGTTTTCCTTCCTACACACATTAAAATATCTTAATATTTTGTAATTTATAAGCAAACTTTAAATTGAAATCCCTATTTACAAAAGTTTCCTCAGTTTCCAGGGGGATACAGCTTTATTTACATATTATGGTCGTCAAACGCCTTATTCCCATCTTTCCTAGTGTACAGTGAGTTCTTCTAACTGTACCGGGTCCCACACACTACTGATAGTTATATTGGTAATCTGTGTGTGTGTGTGTGTGTGTGTGTGTGTGTGTGTGTGTGTGTTAACTTTTCATTGTCCTTCTTCCCTTTTAATCTCGGCAGGTGTCAAGGTTCACCTGGATCGCTGCGGTGTGAGTGCCAGCCCGGGTGGTCAGGGCCAGGGTGTGCCACACCCACTACCCCCACCACCTTCCTGCTCAACAGCTACGTCAAGTTGGCTCTCTCCTTCACCTTGCTAGGTTACACCACCTCCATCTCCCTCAGGTAATATCTCATGGTACCCAACAGTGTTTTGAGAGAGGTTATCAAGTTAAATGGGGATAATTATCTTTAATGGGGACAACTTTTTGTTACCTATAATTTGTAATAAGATTATATACATGATCGTCCCTGTTATAATCCAGTGTGGAGTGAGACGAGCGACAAGAACTTTTAAATTAGAGACTCTCGCTTAATGCTGTTTTATTGTGCAGTCTCTTCTTGATCAGGTGTTGTGTTGCGTATTGACCTGATTGGAATTTTTTCCTGTGACTCTTGCTGTGGGTATCTCCTGACCACACACACTAAGGTTACCAAACCATGTAGACACCAAGTGACTGTGCCTTCACCCCGGGAAAGTTTGGTAAGAATGTATGTGTTGCGCCGCAGGTTCAGGACGTGGAGGAGGAGAGGGCAGCTGGTGGCGTTGGCGTCACAACATGGGCGTGACAGCTGGTCAGTAGAGGTGATGGGCGGCCGCCTGTGTGTGGTGCTGCACCTCCACCCTCGACCCCAGACCTCCCTCTGTCTCTCCCGAGCCTCCCTCACCGACGGCCGCTGGCACTCCCTCACTGCTGCAAGGTACTGGCACTCCTCCCACCGCTGCAAGGTACTGGCACTCCCCCCACCCACCGCTGCAAGGTGGCACTCCCCCCACCGCTGCAAGGTGCTGGCACCCCCCCACCGCTCTGGCACCCCCACCGCTGCAAGGTACTGGCACCCTCCCCCCTTTCACCGCTGCAAGGTGCTGGCACTCCCCTCCACCGCTGTGGTACTGGCACCCTCCCCCTTTCACCGCTGCACTGGCACCCCCACCGCTGCAGGTGCTGGCACCCCACCGCTGCAGGGTGCTGGCACTCCCCTCCCACCGCTGTACCGCTGGGTGCTGGCACCCCCACCGCTGCAAGGTACTGGCACCCCTCCCCCCCTCATCACCGCTGCCAGGCATTTGTATTCCCGGCCACTGACACTTTCTGTGCATGGCCCGTCCTTTAAGTTCCTCGTGAGCACCGATGAAGAATACCCTTTATTTCTTTGCGTCTTGTTATACAGTACTGTATATATAAGACAACAACAGCAGGTCTGTCCGGTATAGGTAACAGCTGAGGGAGTCGCAGCCACTGACGCCCAGGTGTGTTGACAGGTACGGGTCGGCGACCTTCCTGACGGTGGACGACGGGGACGGTGACCTGTACAACGCCTCCGTCGTGCTGGAGGGACGCCAGATGCTGGAGGTGGACGGTCAGGAGGGCGTCCATGTCGGGGGGACACCAGAGTATGCGGGCGTCACTGTGTTCAACATACATAGAGATTATCATGATGGTGGGTGTTATATAGTGGGGGTGATTCAGGGACTACACAGGCTCATACGCCTACATAGATACATACACTGACATATGCAGTTCAAAGTCACGGCCCCGAGTTGACATACGAGTATTTGAATGAACCTAATGTGTACAGTGTTTATCTTGGCTTACAATTACCATATTATCAGAAACAACAGATAATTTAATCACACACACACACACACACACACACACACACACACACACACACACACACACACACATACACCCACAGACCAGAACATTAAAACACACTAATCTAATTCCACCTTCAGGATGTATGGACGACCTGCGGATCTCAGGTCGTGGAGTACCGCTCTCACCTGCGGTCAATAGCACAGCGTGGGGTCAGGCGAGCGTGTTGAAGGGCGTGGAGCAGGGGTGTGGCGCCCCTCCTGCCTGTGCCAACGTGTCCTGCAGGACCCCGCTCACCTGCGTCGACACCTGGAGGTCCTACCACTGCGGGTCTGTACCAAGGCACCGAACTCTGTCCAGTCTACTGTTACCTCTCCATTCATGTATCCTCCACTCATGTATCCTTCACTCATGTATCCTCTACTCATGTATCCACCACTCATATATCCACCACTCATGTATCCACCACTCATGTATCCACCACTCATATATCCTCCACTCATGTATCCTTCACTCATGTATCCTTCACTCATGTATCCACCACTCATATATCCACCACTTATGTATCCACCACTCATGTATCCTCCACTCATGTATCCACCACTCATATATCCTCCACTCATGTATCCTTCACTCATGTATCCTCCACTCATGTATCCACCACTCATGTATCCTTCACTCATGTATCCACCACTCATGTATCCTTTACTCATGTATCCACCACTCATGTATCCTTCACTCATGTATCCTCATGTATCACTCATGTATCCTCCACACTCATGTATCCACCACCATGCATCATGTATCCACCAATTCATGTATCATGTATCCTTCCTCACCATGTATCCACACTCATGCATCCTCCACCATCACCATGCCACCTTCACCACCACTCATGTATCCACCCCTCATGTATCCACCACTCCCTTCCACCATGTATCCAGGTATCCCCACTCCACTCATGTAGTATCCATGTATCCTTCACTCATGGTATCCACCACTCATGTATCCCACTCATGTATCCATGCATCCAGTCATATATCCACCACTTATGTATCCACCACTCATGTATCCACCACTCATGCTCCACTCCCTCCACTCATGTATCCTCCACTGTATCCTTCACTCACCTCATGCATCCACCACTCATGTAGTATCCTCCACACCTTCACCATTTATCATGTATCCACCACTCTATATCCATCATGTATCCATCCAGGTATCCACCACTCATGTATCCTGTATCTCATGTATCCACCACTCAGGTATCCACCACTCAGGTATCCATCACTCATGTATCCACCACTCAGGTATCCACCACTCATGTATCCTTCCACCATTTATCCTCCACTCATGTTCCACTCATATCCATCATGCATCCACCACTCAGGTGTATCCACCCACCATGTATCCACCAGTCATATCCATCATATCCACCTCACCACCACTCATGTATCCAGGTATCCACCACTCATACCTCATGGTATCCACCACTCCACCTTCATGTATCCACCACTCCATATCCACCACTCATGCATCCTTCACTCATGTATCCTTCACTCATGTATCCACCATCCTCATGTATCACCACCACCCTCACATATCCACCACCCATGTATCCACCACCATGTATCCACCACTCAGGTATCCTCCACCAGTATCCACCCTCCCCATATCCACCACTCATGTATCCACCACTCATGTATCCACCACTCAAGCATCCACCACCATGCCCTCCCATACCACCACTCATGTAGCCCACACCACTCATATATCCACCACTCATGTATCCTTCACTCATGTATCCACCACTCATATCCACCACTCAGTTATCCACCACTCAGGTATCCATCATGTATCCACCCTCATGTATCCACCACCAGGTATCCACCAATCAGGTATCCACCACTCATGTATCCTTCACTCATATCCTTCACTCATGTATCCACCACTCATGCACTTATCCACCACTCAGGTATCCACCACTCAGGCATCCACCACTCATGTATCACCACTCATGTATCCACCACTCATATATCCTTTACTCAGGTATCCACCACTCAGGTGTCCACCACTCATGTATCCACCACTCAGGTATCCACCACTCAGCCATCCACCTCATGTATCCTCCACTCAGGTATCCACCACTCATGTATCTTCATGTATCTCCACCACCAGGCATCCACACCATTCATGTATCCACCACTCAGGTATCCTCCATCCAGGTATCACCATTCATGTATCCACACTCATGTATCACCCACTCCAGGTATCCTTCCACTCATGCCCATGTATCCTCCACTCAGGTATCCACCACTCATGTATCCACCCTCATCTCCTGTATCCTCCACTCTATCCACCACTCATCCACCATAAATCCCACCACTCATGTATCCACCACTCAGCATCCTCCACTCAGGTATCCTCCACTCAGTATCCTCCACTCAGGTATCCACCACCATGTCAGGTATCCACCATTCGCCCACCACTCAGGTATCCTCCACTCACCTCCACTGTATCCACCATCCACATGTATCCCCCACTCAGGTATCCACCACTCATGTATCCACCATTCCATGTATCCACCACCAGGTATCCTCACTCAGTATCATCCACTCATGTATCCTCCACTCATGCATCCACCCCATGGTATCCTCCACTCACCACCACTCATGTATGCATCCACCACTCAGGTATCCTCCACTCCAGGTATCCACCATGTATCCTTCACTGGTATCCTCCATTATCCTCCTTCACTCAGCAGGTATCCACCTCACCACTCATATCCACTCATCCACCACCAGGTATCCTCCTCAGATCCTCCACTCATGTATCCTCCCAGGTATCCACCACTCATGGCATCCTCCACCTCCAGGTATCCACCACTCAGGTATCCTCCACTCAGGTATCCTCACTCATGTATCCTCCTCAGGTATCCACCACCCAGGCATCCTCCACTCAGGCATCCTCCACTCATATCCACCACCCCACTCAGGTATCCTCCCACCTCCATGTATCCTCCACTCAGTATCCTTCACCTCATCATATCCTCCACTCAGGTATCCACCACTCAGGTATCCTCCACTCATGGTATCCTTCCTTCACCTCATGTATCCTCCCTCCAGGTATCCACCACTCAGGTATCCTCCACCAGGTATCCTCCACTCATGTATCCTCCCACTCAGGTATCCTCCCTCAGGCATCCACCACTCAGGCATCCTCACTCAGGTATCCCACTCAGTATCCACCACCACCTCCACCCAGGTATCCTCTCACTCATCAGTATCCACCACTCATCCACTCAGGTATCCACCACTCAGGTATCCACCATCTCCACTCAGTATCCATCCCTTATCCTTCACTCATGTATCCTCCACTCAGGTATCCACCCTCCAGGTATCCTCCACTCAGTATCCTCCACTCATGTATCCTCCACTCCAGGCATCCACCACTCAGGTATCCTCCACTCCAGGCATCCTTCACTCATGTATCCTCCACTCCAGGTATCCACCACTCCATCCTCCACTCATTATATCCCTCACTCAGGTATCCTCCACTCAGTATCCTTGTATCCTCCACTCAGGTATCCTCCTCCAGGTATCCACCACTCATATCCTTCACTCATGTATCCTTCACTCCAGGTATCCACACTCAGGTATCCACCACTCATGTATCCACCACCTCCACTCAAGTATCCTCCACTCATGTATCCTCCTCATATCCTCCAGGTATCCACCACTCATGTATCCTTCACTCCTTATCCTTCACTCCAGGTATCCACCACCACCACCATGTATCCACCACTCATGTATCCTCCACTCATGTATCCTCCACTCAGGTATCCACCACTCATGTATCCACCACTCTACAACAAAAGTTCTCCAGACAAACATTCACTGTCGCAATAAATTATATCTATATCCTTTTCACAAGTGTCGTATTCATAAGACTTTTGCATTGTTTTTTTAATTATTAGGAATCATAATACTGTTGCAAGAGCCACTTCTCTTAACGATTGTGTAGAGTATGGAGATAACCGTTAAAAAAAAAAAAAAAAAATATATATATATATATATATATATATATATATATATATATATATATATATATATATATATATATATATATATATATATATATATATATATATATATATATATATATATATATATATATATATACTTTTAACTCACTCATGGTCTCGTGTCGTGGGTGAAGTAGTGTTAAGAGTATAGGGTTATAATGACAGGTGTTGTCCCTGTAGGTGTGGTGAGGGACGTGTGTTGACCAGCAGCCAGACCTCCTGTGACGACGAGGACGAGTGTGTGTGGCAGCCCTGTCTCAACGGTGGTTCATGCTTCAACACCCAGCCAGGTGTGTGTGTGTGTGTGTGAAGCTTGTTAAGATGTACGCAGGATAATTGTTTTTTATTTTGTACATAGTAAATAAGTCAAGATCAAATATTAAATGTAATATACGTTAGCATTATTACTATTGTGCGAACAACTGTACTTTAAGAAGTATATTTCTAATATGGTTAGTTTGGGTATATTTCCTCGTCTTGTGGCAGGCTACGTGTGTGCGTGTCCGGCGGGGTTCAGCGGACAGCACTGTCACCTGCCAGACGTGGGAGAAACTTCCCTAAAGCTCTCCCTGGCCGCCTTGGTGGCCATAGTAGTGTGGTGCACCTTCCTCCTCCGTGAGTGTCGTGTCTTCTTTACCCCAGATTATTGCTGGTAATATTGCTTTGGTTGTATACTGTACTGTATTGATTAAAGGAAGAAGACGTACTGCACACATTATCCACGAATATGGTAATAAGTAACACAAGAAAAAATAATTGTACATTACTAGTCTTTGTCATTTATTAATACTGAAATGAATCACAAATAAAACATAGGTACAGTGAAGGATCTTCCAGTGAGTCACAGAGAGAACCATAACACAAGATAACCATCTTACAGTGTTGATCTGCGCCTTCCTGCTGCACCAGCACCACCGACGGTCCGCGCTACGCAGGGGCGCCCCCAACGACAAGGATGACACAGTCACCTGTAAAGAACAAGTATCGCCGCCCTGCAGCCACACGCCCAACCTGCTGGAGCTGCAGCTGCTGAAGCCCCCGAGAGCCAACGGCCAGCCAGCCTGGACCAAGAACCCCAACATTGCAGGTGAGTCACCACCTGCTGAGCCTCCTCTCGGGTCCTTCATGCACACGTAACTACTACTTGATTGTTATATACTTTATATTTTCCGACTGAAGACTCACACAGCGCCAACTTTTATGTTTGTCTATAATCATAAGAGCTGGTGTATACAGTAGTGTTAGTTCTATTCCGTTTGTTAATGTACTGTACTGTACTTTGCCTCTCGGCCAGCTGTGGACGTGCTGCAGGTGGATAATGCCTCAGTGACCAGCAGCATGGAAGACCAGAAGCGGTGCAACGCTTCACCTGCCGCCCCACACATCAAGCATAAAGGAGACAAAGATGGAGGAACGCTCGAGGCAGAGAAGAAGAATGGCGTCAGCAAGGGACAAGTGTGCAGTCCTCCTGCCGGGGACGACCTGAGGAACTACGCTTACGAGGGAGACGGGTCTTCCCCGGGATCACTCTCCTCCTGTAAGTCCTCCTGGGGTTCCAGTACTGGTAAGAAAGTCGTTCATTTTCTTTCTTTTTCTTAGACTTTATATTAATTGGTTTTCCTGCCGTAATAATAATATTAATTGCGACTTGTGGGTAACAGTCATTATTATTATAATTTATTATAACAGATTAAAGATTAAGCGACTTTTTAATATTAATTACTGCCGAGGGGCGACAAACTCAGTACACAACACACGGTCATGTACATTTTAACCCTCTCACCGCGTGCCATTTCATTCTAGCTACCGCCAGACGATTTTATTCAGCTTAGGGTAACCTCCCGCTGTGAAAGGGTTAAGAGAACAATACCTGTGCTACAATTTAATATAACACCACCAAAGTGAGGGTGGCGTGCTAGAAAAACACATAAGTTATCGGGTACTGTATAACCTTCACCATCGCAACTGAACTGGTGTGTGGGTGTGTGTGTTATGAAAATATACAGTACCTTTAGGAACGGTGTTGAGTCGTGGATTTTATTCACCAAGCAAGTCTCTGTCAACAGCGTGTGTGTGTCAGTAAAGTTAGAGTATATATTATATAAAAAAGTACTCTTCAAAAAACCTGTCTCCTTCATCAAATATTAACTGCTAATGTGTATTTTTTAATCCGCCCTCGATGTGTTATGTAATTAACAACTCAGTTTTATACAGTATTTAACTCAACTTACAATGTTCTTACACTCGAGTTATAATTGTATAAATTATTTTATTATTTTACTTTAGCTTCTGTAGCAATAATTGTCTTGTTTTTAATTATATGTTTTATGCTGATTTGAGTAGAGTGCAAGACGCGTCCATCATCCTCACGATCACTGTCTCCCCAGGTCTGGAGAGCTGCAGCGGAAGTGCCAAGTTCCTGGGCGGGTTCCGTGAGGTGGCGCACATGCTGGAGTCCTGACACACAACTGGCTCACAGTCGACGGCAACCACAACAAACACAAACACCGCTCCACCAACCACGTCGGTTATTCATTTAGCAGATGAGAAGATAGCCACACCCACTGCAACAGGGAAACTCCTCTCAGAATATATTGTCACTCCTGCGGTCATGCCAGCACCCGACCCACCTAGTGCCTTACAGAATGAATAGTGGCTTTGTTGACAGTAAAATAATAAAGTCCTATGAAAACAAAATGTCCAGGTGTGATTACAGTATAATGTTTACGACGCTTTACATTCATATATATATATATATATATATATATATATATATATATATATATATATATATATATATATATATATATATATATATATATATATATAGTAGCGTTTTTTATATTTAATTATAAGTTTTATCTAGATATAAAGGTGCATCTTACCCCTTTCTCTCTCTCCAAACTACAAACACATCACATGAACCAAAAACACCCAGCAATTCTGTAAACACACACACACACACCCGGATGAACACTGGTAAACTTGCTTCTGTGCCTCTCTGTGGTAGACTGTGTGCCGCAGGCTCTCTCTTGTGTCACTGTATACAACATTTTATTCCAATAATTGATGCAAGTCTATAATCATGACAGCACTTCTAAATAAAAAGTCCTTAATGTTGTATCTGGTGTAGAGAGAACGGTCGTGTCTGAAATATTTAACAATGCACCCAACTGATTGACTTAGGCTAAAACATTGAATTAACATCTAAGAATAGTATAAAAAATACTTCACTAGATAAGACAGAATACTATGTGAATGTACAGAATCTCTCCCAAAATTTGATCGTATTTTTAAATGCTATTCTAGTATTTTACGTTGATTCATTCACTAAGAAGTATTCAGACAGTTTCAGGTACGAAGGTAAGTATCGTGCGAACCTTTGCAAGGCTGGGCTCTGAATAACACGAGCTGGTGTGTTTGTACTGAATGTAAAAAAAAGACCTACGGGATGCTAGTTAAGACAAAACCAGTGATATAAGATTTTCCATCAGAATGTTTTCAAGAATAATACGAAAACGATATGAAAGATAGAGAGAGGCAAAAAGTTTCATGTACACACACACACACACACACCAGATAGTATATAAATAAGTATGACGTGAAGCTTATAGGATAAATACGTAAGCGTTGACATACTGTAAACTTGTAAAAACTATTTAATGCTAGTGTTGTCCTCGAGACAGTTATTGTGGCAATTTACAGCAGAGAACTTCAGAAAATTGTAGCATAAGGATTTTACACATCCACTGAACTTGAAAAACTGGTGGGCAGCTGTAAAGAACTTCCTGTTACGTGATATTAATCAACATACAGTTTGGCGATATGAATGATCACTATTAAACACTGTTACGTAGAGAATTTTATCTGTGACGAAAAATCATTAAATGTCTGTAAGGTTAAATACTTATCCTAATTATGTCAAAATATAGTAGGCCTAGACGATGGAACTAAGGTGGAATTATGAGGTGTAGTGTGAACATGGCTGGACGAACGTTTTGTATTTTTCTAAAAGTTTATCTGACTAGTAAAATACTGATATGTTGTTATCAGATGTGTTTTATTGACCTGTGTCTGTAGATAAAGATAAGGACCACATGATTAGCCCAAGCTTATTTCCTCTGAAGCTTAACTACCCGAACTCTTAACCAAATAACCTAATCTAACCCCCTCAGGTAGCATTAGGGTGCTTAATCATTAGGTGAAATAAGCTGAGGAACTAATATTTATGTGATCCAAATAAAATACTCATGATCTTGAAGAAAAATAAAAAAGCCAGAGAAAGAAGGAGAATGTTTTGGAGATTTGATGGAGATGGGATAGACGAGAAGTAAGGATCGCCCTAAGATGCGCGGCCTCCATCACCCCAGCTTATTCCACTTGAAGATTAACCTCCTTGACACTAACCTAATTCCCAGATAGCGTCAGGGTGGCTAATCTTCAGGTGGAATAAGTTTGAGGGGCGAATCTTAAGGTGATCCGAAGTTGGTATAGGCACATAGGAGTCGATATTAAAAAAGGGCGGTAAGACAGTGTGGAGGAAAATATATTGCAAAATAGGAAGTTAACGAGTAATGGAGTATTATGAATACCAACAAGGAGATATAACTGGCCCGGTAAATGAAATTATTAAAAGCAGGAGAGAAATCCACGATTCGATGGATCAGGATAAAGAAGATAGATGTTTACGGTCGCCTGGCCAAACAAAGAACGGAAAACGAGCGAAAACCTTTAAGAGAATGTTTTCTATAATGTTAAAATATTTTCACTAAAATAAATGATACAAAAAATCCTAGAAAATGAAAATGTACATGTCACCATGGCATTACAGGAAGCTAACGTTCTTCATGTCCAAGGCTTCTAGGGGTATGGGGAGATCCTGGATGCATCACTACTGTATACAGATTTGTGTAGGCTATACTGCTCATTGCAAATTCATGTCCTAGAATCACAGTTTGCGAATAAATTTGTTTATGTATAATAAGTCACTTAAGTTTTATTAATAACAAATGTTGAAACAAATGTGTGCATTGAAAATTCTGCTGAACATTGATCCTAGCTGTAACTCTGAATATTTGAATCTTTATTCTTAATTGAAATTGCCCAGTGCAGCACTTGCAAACAGTGCGTGACGGAACTGACCGACTGCCCAGTTAGTGCAAGTGGGTTTTTCGGCGCTTGCCAAATTGTGCTGTAAATTTCGTAAATTTACTGAGAGTTTTTAGTATCTTGTTGAATATGTGCCACCATGCGCACCTTAAGCATAGTTTCAGTCGTGAAGAGTATCAGTATTAGCCTAGTTGTAGTGAAAATAAGTGCATAAAAAGCTCTTGCCAAAATACATTTTTTATAGAAATGCTAAATATCTCTCAGTTGATGCCCGCACGACCCTTTGTTCGGCGTTCATACGATGTCCCTTGGACTATTCCTGTTCGTCATGGTACTCTGCCTTAACACAAAAGCTAAAAACCAAGAATAAAATTATTGAAAACAAGGCAGTGAATTTCATTCTGGTATGAGCGCAGGAGATCACGTTGGTCACGAAGATTAAGTGTGACTGGTAGAGTGAAGCAACTGAGCCTGAATTACGCTTACAGGATTTTAAATGGCCTGTAGCCAGAGAATCTAACAATAAACTTTGCAAGGATTATGGATATAAACTAGCAGGGCATTAGAGGGAGTGACATAAATTTATACCTCGTGTTCGTGGTCAAGCGAAAAACACTTTTCTTTTTTATCCTTTTCACCACTTATCAACTGACAGCCGTTAGGGCGATTGGTCTATCCAATTAATACAGGAGGAAAGCAGAGGTCGAGAAACCTGTGATGTTTGGTAGGATCACGGTCACACTAGATAACACCCTTCTCAATTCTCAAGCGTATCCAGGCCGAGGCTTGAATCCTTGACATACTGGTGAAAGATACGCGTTACCAAAACACATCAAAACCAGTTACGGTATTAAACAATTCAAAGCAAAAACAAAGAAACACATAACCTGAAACCACAGCAAGAGAAGAGAGAGTAGAGTACTACATTAGTAGTATTCACTGAGGAAGTGATCCGCCAGCCTTGGATAGTCCAAGCGCAGTGTAATGCTTGTTGAATTCTATCAAATAAACTTTCACTAGTAATCATGTAGACACACTATTACTGATTAGAGACCAAACGTAAGCCTAGGCAACGGACCCTCCTGGAAATAAGCACCTGGCACTTTTGTTGGCTATCCGTGGTCAAGTTGCCCTACTGTCTACCATTGTTATTTACCTGCACTGTCTCGACACACAGGAAACTAAGAAATATAGACTCTCTATTTCTTGGTTTCCAATGTGCCGTGGCAGTGCAGTGAAAGATTTAGTTCCTCTATATTAGAGGAACTAAAAAAATGTCTCATAATCAAATGCCGTTTCGGCACTGGGAAACCATATTGACATACCCTAGATTGCACGACAAATTACTCGGCACTGCACTGGCTCGTAAGTTGACATGAGGTGAACAGCAGAAAGTAAGCTTTGACTATCTGGCTGCTGTGTCTGCGGTGGTGATTTGAACTATGAGGATCATCTGGACTATTAGCCTGTGGGGTTCAGGATATTTGGTTCACACTCAGGATGGGTTGGAGAAAGGAAACTCACAATGTGCTCTCTATATACATGTTGTATTGGATGTACAATGCAGCTTGGTGCTGGGAAGGCAGCGTGGTTACAAGAGTGATGTAGAGAGAGCTGGTTGGTGAGGACGCTCAGAGGAGGACCAGCTTGTGGGTCGCCATGCTCGCCGGCGGGAGCGAGGACCACCAGGCAGGCGGAGGAGGTGTTGCTGGCTGGTTGGTGTAGGTAGAAAAGAGGCAGGTCACCACGAGGTCAGGTCTTAAATAGCGGGGGGTAGGCGTGGCTTAGTAGTTGACCCCCGCTCCATGATGTATGGCGGCGCTGGTTGACCTAGACCACGAGGCATACACTGGGGAATTGGTGGGGTCGGCTACTCAGCGACAAACAGCGTTTGTAGGGGAGAAATCCACTACAAGCCTATTACATAGAGCACCGGTAACTATTTGATGACTGCAACAAAATCATTTATAGTAAAGTAGGCATCCATCATGACTTTAACAGAGTTCATTTGTATTATTTCTATATATTTTTCATTGCCACATTTTACGACATCTCTCAAAGATAATATCCATCATGGATGTCTTTCTTAATTGATTCCATCATGGAATTCCATGCAGTCTTCACCCTGTCATCTCGATCAGATTTTTCGATCTTCCTGCCAAGGATTGATTATTCTTTCCTGCATAGACGACTCATGCATAAACATTCTTAATTTCATTGACTGTTGATTTTATTCTTTTGATATGTACCCTTTATTTCAACTTGCAAATTTTTTCGTTTAAGTTTACGGAATTTTCATCGATTGGATTATATGCAACTTACTGGTAGTAGCCTCACTTAACAGCTATCACAGTACCAGTGAAGCTCTGTCTGCTTTCAATTCCTGATATGGTGTCTTGACACTGATAATGTTTCCAAGAGACTGTAAATGTCGGGCCAGGTCATACTGTACTGTATGCACTTCCTGAAGCAGGATACCAGTTTTTACTTCTGGAAGTTCCATGCAGTGTGATCCTTCCGGGTTAGCCTGAAAAGTCCTCTCAATTTTAGTAAAAACTTTCTTGCGCTAATTCATTGACGTTAAAGGAACAAAAGGTAAAATGAATGAACTGTTAATATCCTATTTAAAGACATAATGAAGAAAAACATCTGAATAGAGCTAGCTATGAAATTACAAGGACAAGAAATGATTTCTAATTTGGTAATCACTAAAAGCGACATCGGTAGCTTGATTTTTTATTATATCTTGTATAGCTCAATATATCTCTACAGATTTTCTTAATGAACACCTTCAGTTAAAAAAATAAGTGTAACATTGGTTCTAATTGAGCGCTAAGGAAAACAGAAGGCAACAAAACATTAGGCAGATATAGTTCAAGGTATGTGACGGCAGCAGGGAAAGTGGGTGTGAGGAGACCCCCAAGATGTACAGTCTTCACTCTGCCCCAGTATGTTCTAAACTGACTTTGTGAACCTTATTGAAAAATATTTTGCGGTAAAGGTGTAGTTGTCATATGATATTTTGTCCGTGTTTGCGTGACAGTGTGTAAAAATGTATAAGGAGAATCTGAAGATCATAATAGGCCTAGTCTGTTTGTTTTGATCAGCTGTTTCGTGCCTTACATCAATAGATCAAAACACTCTTTTCAGATTCTATCGTTCATTCGTTTTTCTCTTTAAAAACGTGAATATGTGTACGATATAATTAACTGTAAAATCCCGAATTTGATTGCAACTGATATTAAACAGTGTCATATTGTTTATTGTACACTATGGTGAAGAACCTTGACCTCATACTGTTTTGCATCCTGTATGAGATTACTCAGTTATGCCCTACTCAGTTATGCCCCATTAATGCTTAGTACAGTCTAGGCCGTTATTAAATGAGATAAAGTATACTTTCTGTGGAGATAAGAAAAACTTGAGGAAATTAATGACATTATAACTCCAACTTGTATACCGCAGTTTTACTTAATGGTTACCGCTTTATTCCTTCTTATTATGTTACATGGTCTTTACTTATGTGTGTTGTTTTGAGGTGGTGTAAATCTGATCCAGGGAAGAAAAAAATGGTAAATTTTTAATTCCACCTCCCCATCTGTTAGAAAGTTAAAAATATATTTTTCTAGTGTATTTGTGTGTGTGTCGACCGAATATGACCTTCATTTCCATCGGAAATTGGCCGGTTTTATTTATCGAATTTTTTTCGAGACGTTTTTCGAAAAAAATTAATCGCTAAACGAATAAAAAATACACCAAAACACACTAGAAAAACCTAACCTAACCTAACTGACTCTCACCATATGATGAAATCACCTATTTCTTACCTTAGTTGGCCTGGAGACCAGGTTCTTGTTCGTCGTTGGATTCTGAGATTCTTACACAACGCCACATATGTTGGTCTTTGCAATATTTACATTCAGTCTTGCTCTTAGTACACTTAACTGAGGTTGGAAGAACACCATGCTATTGAAATAATGCTATAGTTTCTTCGTTTTTTTTCCAAAAACTCGCAATCAGCTCCATATAATGTAAGTGACACCCACCGCAAGCTTCCATGGTCAGAACTGAACTTGAATATTGAAATATGAGACCTAAAATAAAAATTTATTTTGATTGGTCCAAAAATACAGCGAATTAAACCCAAAAATCATTTTAATTGGTTGCAAAAAAAAAAAGGCTTCTGATTGGTCGTGTGACATATACGGGAACGCACGTGCATGATGATTTATGAAGGATTCACGCAGGAGACATGCAGTGTGAAAGGTGAAGTACACGTTAAATGGCCGAAGTTAATGAAAGAAAATAAAGAAAATTTAGGATTTGCTATCTCCGTTAATATACATTTCCGGCGGTAATGTAATACCTGTAGATGAAAATGATCTTATAATTAGATGTCTTATTAGAATATGATTATAGATTAGAGGTAGGAAATGAGAATGTTTAAAGAAAATAATACCGAAAAAATGGTAATGTATAAGAACATCACTACCACCAGAAGGAGTTGTTCGATTTTGTACATTTTTGCCACAGGACAGATGTTTTTAGTATTATAGCAAATGTTTTAAAAGAGGTAACATTTACTAGAACTGGTCTTATTTTGCTTTGGGACATCGCGCACCCAAAAGTTATAAACTACTGAAACATTTAGATCTCCCTATTTTGAGCATTTTGAGCCCCATATATATATATACCAGGCGGGAATGGATAATAGCGACAATTTAATTTAATTGATTTTACGTAGTTTTCAGTCTTCGTCTGTGAGGAGATGTTATCAGCGCATCACGTATGCGCAATATTGACTAATGTCATCCAGTTGTGAGCAGTGATGTATCGATATCATCACGCGAATTTTTTTCCGACCAATCACATTTGTTTGTTTTTTTCAATGGAAGCAGCCTGGGTACAATTTTAAGTTTATTGCCGAGTTTTACGAGAGAGATGATCATTCTATCCAATTCTTAAGTATCCCTGGTCCTTTCACTTCTAACTAAGGTATTGTACTTTCGGACATGGCGCGCCCCAATGTTTTAAACCACTGAAACATTTAGATTATTTTAAGCTAGGCCTAGTGGGTTTGGCTAGGAGTTAAGTTAGGTTTTGTTAGGTTAGATGACTCGTTTTCATTTTCTCCCCCAACCAAAAACCCAGATTTCTCAGGCTCTCCCCCACTATTGTTGGGGGGCAAAATGAGCAATTTCTGCCAGAGATTTATTCTGCCTCCTCCCATTTATGATGCAGCACAGTAGTTGGCATTTGATTCACAGTTCTCTTTAAACTGACATATGATATCATTAAACAGTGCTAATGAGAAGTACAGTATTCCAGAGGCCAACTTTCCTCCTTGCAGTTTCCTTAGGGGTTGGCTGGAGTGAGAGTTGTTGATGCTAACATGGTTTACAACTGTCATATTGGGTGTGTTCTGCATACTATAGTTGGAAGGATGAGTCATGCAGCATCAAGACTGTTACACACCCATGTCTTAGGGCCACCCATGAACTTTGATATCCCATTATTTGGGAATCGTGTCAGAGGGAAGTGAGATGCCACTTATCACCATGGCCTTGAGAGTTACTGGAGAAGCCCCTGGAAACTTTGGTGCATGTGTTCACTGCATGTTCCTCTTTGGCTCTGTAATGGATGTTTTTTCAGGATCAACACAAATTTTCTTTGCTTTGTTTTTATAAGTATAGTGTTTCTATTGTTTTAAGTTTTAATAGTACAGATATACATTTTCAAATGATGTTTGGTGATGTGTCTTACAGAACACTAGGGTAGTGGTCTATACAGTAAACCCTTGTTATTCATGAGGGATAGGTTCCAAGGAATGGTACGAATAAGCAAAACCACAAATAAAAACTTAAACTATCTTAGTGCACTACTGTATGCCTATACCAAACAACCGACCTGCCGCGGCACCACTCATCCCCTCCTTTAACTTGTTTAATAATTCAACTTTCATTGTCAGGGTCGTCACTGACTTCTGCCTTTTACATTTCACTCCACTATCATCACTAGCACTGACACTAGGCAGTCTTTTAGGGGCCATTTCACACAGAAACATTTAAGTTTTGAGAGTACAACACGAGATGTTGCGTGGGGTGACTTGTTGTGCTGCGGGAAAAGGCTTGCAAGCTAGCCACCATCTGTTTACCGTGAATCATTGAAACCGCGAATCGCAAACCCGTGAATGGAAAGGGTTTACTGTACTATATGTAAATAAGTTTAGGTAACATTCTTATGCCTTGAGGTTGACAAAATGATGCAATTTCCAAATTTATTATTTTCCTTGTAAAATTTGTAGATTAAATAAAAATTTGGTAATACGTGCTGTACTGTACTATACAGTATTATACAATACAGATTCTAAATTATCATGATGTCATGCTGTCTCTTATCAGCACTAGGCTACTTGAATGAATGAAGAAAAAGGTTATGTGAAACATTTTGACCATGTGACTTAAAATTGGAGAACATAATTACAGGCGGTGTAATCATAATGGGGCTTATAGTTGATGTGGCCACAATACTTCATAAATACACATACCAGTATTAACTAGTGCAATTTTTCTTTACGTATATTAGCTTTGTATTTCTCTGAGGTGATAACCTTGTGGAATAGATTCAATAGACAAAACATTATGCGTATGAAACCTTCTGGTATTTTAGAAAAATCTATGACATCTGTTATTATATTAGTCATCAAATTGTATGGGAAATACACAAGATTATTAGTGAGATCATACATTTACTTAAATCATACCTGTGGAGGACAGATAATGAAAGATAAGAAATGATAAGACTGGCTGTCCTGACACAGTCACAGTGAAACAGGGTTGACTATCGAGCAAATAGTGTTTTTATGTTGTAGCTTTTGGTGTGGGAACTGGCAAGTTAGTAATTCTGTACAGTATTTTAATTTTGAGAAGTGCTACCAGTCTGTTATCAAGAGCTAGAAGCAAAAAAAGAGACCATAGCACTGTATTGGTAAGGAATTCAGCACTGTACTGTAGTTTTTATACTGGTAAATGATGTAATGTTTAATACAGAACCCTGTACAGTACATTACCGGTCCTCTATATGCACATCATTAATAGTTACTTAAGCTTGTAAAGGTTTCTTTTATTATACTATATGATGGAGAACTAGGAGAAGTAGTAAGTTGTAGTGTTCTTTAATTTAGAGATGTACTTATTATCATTTTAAGTTATTATATTGGCATTTTGGGACTGAAGCATGGCCACAAGATGCAAGGGGAAGAAGCAAGAGAAATGCCATGCGACCTTTATGATTGGCGAATAGGATGCAAAGAATAAGAGACACTTTACCTCTTCACTACGGGGATGCCACTCTTAATCTATTATTTGCCTAACACCGGACGATATTTATTCAGCACAGGGGGGAGCCCATGTACAAGGAGTTAGGTTAGGAGGAGATGTGGAAGAAATGTCAGCCAGAGACACTGACCATGGCTTACTAAGGTGTTACTGACGTACAGTAATGACAGAACTAGAAGTGAAAGATTGGTAAAAAGAGTATAAGATAAGAGTGGATTGTGTAAAAGAGAAGGGAATATCAAGGAGATGGAAAGATGGGGTGAAAGACCAAGAAATGAAGGGGAAGGACATCCAGGAAACAGTGATGCATATGATGGACTGGAAAGCATGGCATCAAATGGTATGGCCATTTGGATGGCTGTTTGGCATATAGGTAATATTGTACTGTACTAAGTATGTATGATATGGCGTGGGCACACCATAGATGATTATGAGGCCTTGGGGTGATAGATAAGTATCTATCATAAGGCCCTAGAGTGAAGGACACACTACTGTACAAGTGAACACCATAGCAGAGCATATTCATTACAGTTGTAAGAGCGAATAATGAGTGAGTCTGGATTTGTTTTCGGTTCTGGACACTAGTGCAGTGGGGGGAGAGGGTAGGAACATTTCTCAGTTTTTATAGTGGGAGTCTAAAGGAAAATGTGATCTGATGTACAGTCTCGTTCAAGCTTCTTCGAACACTGCTGGAGACAGCTGGCTAATCAAGGCCATTTGTTTACTATAGTACGTAGTATAAGATAATACGAAACAACAAAGCCCAACCATTAATTAAGCAACAAGGAACTAAGTAACCAATCACCGATAACCTTTTACATTCATTCACAATTTTTACTATGTACTATAGTAAACAAACGGACTTGAGTTGCCAGCTGTCTCCATCAGTGTTCGAAGAATCTTGAAGGAGACTTTACAAGATACAGAATTATAGAAGGTATTTCAGGAATGGAACCCTTAAATAAATCAGGAAAGGCCTGTACAGTACATTATGCAAGTTAATTTTATTTATATATTTTAAAAGACTAGCTCAGTTTATTCTTGAGCCTGTGTTGTAGGTTATGGTTATATTGTTCCGAGATGACAAATTAACATGTTTGAATAAATTGGGTGTAGAGTACAGTGTTTATTAATGAGGAAAATGCTGTACCATCTATACAAAGCTTAATAGAATATATTTAGGCTAAAATCAGCTCAGCACTTTTTCATTTCTGACAGGTGACTCTGAGCATGTGAAATTAAGGACAATGGAAAGATGAAAAATAGCCCTCCCAATGGATTTGGAGCTTGGAATATCAGGTCACTCCATTCATGCAAGAATTGTTTATATCGCTGCCATTTCAAGCATTGTGGTCATCATAGTCAGAGGTGGGTTAATATTTATCTTGTGGATAGTAAGGTGTTCAATCTAAATAAGAACATAGATGGGTTGAAATAGTGAGTTAGGTCTTAAAAAAGATAGTGAAGAGGCAAGTTGAGGGAGAGTTTAGCTTTGTTGCTACATGATCACTCACAGTACAGTACAGTACAATACAGTACTGTAGTAGGTTTTAGAGTAGCAACGCTCATTTTAACTTACATTGGTGAAGATGGACAGCATTTTCACTAGTAATCAGAGCAAATTGTATGATTCACAAACAAGTGTTAACTTAAAATGTGATGTCCTGAGAACTTTTGTTCTGTGGAATCATAACCTTAATTTTTGTCTGTAAACCACTTGTGTATGGAGTCCCCTTTGAACTTTAGCCAACTAAAATACTGAATGAAAAGTGACATTCCAGAAGTGAAGGGTTTAAAATTATGTTTTGAATATTGTTTCCAACAAATACATGTTCATCTGATATTATTGTAGAATTTTCTCTTCTCAGTTTTCAAGGAACAGGAAATTCACATTCCTTCTGGCTTGTTTAAGTATCATAAAAAAAGGCAAAGTTCCCAAGAATCAGGATGGGCCAGTGTACAAGTGGTGAACTGCCTCCACCCACCACTGATGCTGATGAACACAGAGGTAAGTGAGTTTAGGAGATGCTGTATTGAGAATAGCTGAATGTGTTTAGAGTGAAGGGCGATATATCACTGAGAAGATTTAATTGTTTTTGTTGAAGCTTGGTGGAGGAAGTTGTTGAATTTTAATGTGAGGCTTAAGGTTTAATTTTTTAAGTGAGTGAGTGCTGTGCTGTTTTGGCTTATTACCAGTAATCTTCTACATTGAGAATGCTTGCAACTAATTTACTGAAGATGCGATACAGTGTGTGTACTGTGTACATCTACTACTGGCATCATGAAACAAAAAAAAAACATCATTTTGAAAACTAATCTTTTTATCAATAATTCCTCAACTGATTTGCTTTAACTTGAATTCATATATGTACAGGTATCCCTTGCAATACGAATTTTCACTATACTAATATTCTTTTCTTTCACTTCTTTTTCACTACTGTATACAAAAGCTTTCCTTATACAAATAGAATCCTTTAAGGTAATGAACCAAATTTATATTTTATTTTATTTTTTAATGTCTTAGGTACTAAATTACAGTGTGCTGTATAGGGTACATAGTTAGATAATAATTTACAGCATTTAGCTAGTTTTTTGGTTATTTGTGAACCTCTTTTATTTTTTAGGTAAAATATTAGGGTTTTCTTGTCATTGGGGGTACTGAACCATATTTTTCCCATATGTCATGTTATAAGATATATGAAGACCTGTATTCACTAAATGAATTATTTTCAAGGAACCTAATCCATTTGTATAGCAAGGGATAGTTGTACCATGGTACTGTAATTTGCACAATACTGTATACTGTGTTTTATCAATATTTTTGGGGAGATGGGGAATCTTCTCTCTTGTGACCATTTTAAGAGTTAATGCAGTAAAGTATCTCAAAGATGAGCAAAAGGTCCCCAGTGATTGGAAAATGGCTTATGTAAGTCCTATATTCAAGAAAGGCATTTGTCGTTCCACAAATAATTATAGATCAGTGTACATGACCAGCATCAAGTGTAAAATACTAGAGAGCCTTATAAGAGATGCCATGATAGAACATATACTACGAAATAACCTTGTAAAAGACTGCAGCATGGATTTATGCTGGGACAATCCTGCTTCACACAATTACTCAAGGTACTGGACGTTTGGACTCAAATTCTGGAACAGGGCGGCAATATCGACAATATATACCTGAATTTTTTCAAGGCTTTTGACAGCATACCCCATGAAAGGCTGAGAATTAAACTGGGAGGGTACAGGATTCGGGGAAGTGTCCTAGTGTCGATCGGAGACTTTCTGCATGATCGCAAGCAGTGTCTGGTGATTAATGGTACGAAATTGTCATGTGTACCCGTGATAGGTGGAGTACCACAGGACAGTGTCTTGTGCCTGTTGTTGTTTGTTTGTTTCATAAATGACATACCAGAAGCTAAACACTCCTCCATACAAATGTTTGTGGATGATGCCAAGTTATTCAGGGAAATTAAGAATCAAACAAACTGTCAAGAGCTGCAGAAAGATCTCTGTGAGCTTCAAGAGTGGTCGAAGAAATGGCTACTAAAATTCAATGTCACAAAGTGTAAGAGGATGCACCTGGGTCATACCAATGGTAAGGAGGCGTATCACTTGTCCCAACGGGACGAAGAAACTACATTAATAGAGACCAAATGCGAAAAAGACCCGGGTGTGTATATTGACGCTGAAGTGAAGGTTTTGGGCTATTGTGAGAAGAAGGTGAATCAAGCACCTATTGTAAACTAATACCTAGGCCTTATAAGAAGTAACGATCGATTTTCAGGAGTGAGGTGCTTCCCTGCCTGGAGTGCTGTCACCCTGTCTGGTCCCTGAGATATGCTAGGGACTGTCAGCTGATTGAAAATGTCCAAAGAAGGGCCACCAGATTGGTGCCTGCATTTTGGCACCTCAGTTATCCAGAGATTAGAGTGTCTGCAACTACCTAGCTTATACTGTACCACAGACGGGCAAGGGGTGACCTAATTGAGGTGTATACGGGGTAAACATCTCAGAGGGCACCGCTCAGTCGAGTGTCCATACCTGGAGCTGGCAGAAGCCTGCCCCACAAGGGGTCACAGCTCAAGGTTGAAGAAGCCACAAGTCCAGAGAACTGTGAGGGCAAACTTTTTTGGAGTGAGAGTTGTGAACTCTTGGAACAGTCTACCAGAGAGTGTTGTGATGGCACTGAGTGTGAGCTCTTTTAAGACAAGACTTGACCAACACTGGAGCAGGTTCGGATACATTCAGGAGCCAGTGCATGCCCAGTACTTGCCAACAATGCGTAACAGAGATATGACCGACCGCCCAAGCGGCTAACGAGCCAATCAGTGGTGAAGAGGATAAAAGTAAAAAAGTAAAAGTAATTCTCAGTAAGGCTATAGTATCTATGTGCTTCAAATTTTAAGCACATACAGTATATCTATTCTAGAGAAAGTTTGTATGCTGAACACCATGGTTCTACCAGTTACTGTGTGTAACCACATTTAGTTTGCATTAGTTTTGACCTTTACTGTATATGTTAATACTTTACAGTACAGTATTTAAAAAAAAAATGAAAAATTTAGAATTATAATGTTCAGTAATTTTGATGTTTTGGAAACCATAACACTAACATTAGACAGTACTGTACAGGTAATATTACTTATAAGTAAGACTCATTGTTCATTAACAATAAAAAAAAAGTTATATTTATTCCAATATTTTAAAATGTTACCATTACTGTACAACAGCTGAAAATGGAAATAATTCACCGAAGTTGGAGGCAAACTCTGGAAGATCGTCCAGCCGCAAGTTGTTTCGACGTCGCTCTTCAAATTCCTCGTGGGTCAGCAGCAAATTTAACAGAGGACAGAAAGCTAAAGATCTGTCTGCTACATTTAATATGCTTGATTATGATGCCAGGGTATGTATATATTAGTTCTATTATCGAAATATTAACTATTACAGTATATCTGTCCTTTTCTACCTCCATACTGTACCCTGCCATGAAATAATATGCCATCTCAGGGCACAGAGATGACATTAACGGTAGTTAAGTGGAATTTTTTAAGTCACTCATTCCCTCAGTCTAAAAACACATAATTTTTCTTTCCAGATGAATTTATTAAACATAAATGCAGCCCCTGAAGAGGAGTTGATGACTCTCCCAGGAGTGACACGAACAGTTGCAAAAAACATTGTTGAATATCGAACAGCTATTGGAGGGTTTCGTCGTGTAGAAGACCTGGCTTTAGTGTCTGGTGTAGGAGCTGCCAAGCTGCAGACATTTAAATGTGATATAACTGTGAAGAAAAGTTCTTCTAGGTAAGTAATTGTATTTTGTTTTGTTTTATATACATTAACCCTCATTAATTTAATAAGAAGGGGGTTCTGGGTCACTCAAATTACCAAAAAGTCTGAATTATCCGAGTTCGGAGTATTTTGACATTTTGTAAAATGTTTCAAATTTTTGTGTTCGATTATTTGTTTGTTTTGTTCAGTTTTTCTACCTGGCAATGCCTTGACTGCCACATAAATAATCTATTTATAATAGCTGTGCAAACATAAATATATTTTTTTAAATGTACATACAGTAATAATAAAGTAAATGCAGTAATACTGTACAGTAATAAATAAATGTAACACCGTGAGGTGAGCTGACATGATGTGACGAGGTACTTACACAACACACACATTAACAGCATTGCTAAACCATTGTCTTATAAGATTTTAATTTCAAATTTTTATTTTAAAAGTAATAATGGAATACATAATGGTTCGATTTGGCAACTTTTACACTTAGACAACTGATCAATGAATAAACCAGTTCATATGGAGATGCATTGTACACTACAATAATAGTTATTAAGCTCTGACAAATACACCAACCTTCTTGAGCAGTTATAACAACAGTGCCTGAAAGATGGTGAGTGCTGGCAACATTATTAGAGAGAGTGGGGCCAATCAGCTGTTACTGCTCTGTAAACCAAAAACTTGGATTATACTACTGTACTACACAATAGCTTATCTGGGATTTTTTGGGGGAAAATTAATTATTTTTCGTGTTTTATTAACCCGGCAGCAAATGAACTTAAATAATATGAGAATAATGGTGAAATTGCATACTGTTGTTATAAAGGGGTCGCGATCTGATGAGCACGGAAGTTGAGTTATCCTCTCCTCCCTCCTCCACCACCAGCCACCTCCTCTCCCGGCTATGCAACCAAACATAGTTTTGTACAGTATCTTAATATAATTCATATTCTATTTCTATAATTCATTCATATTAATCTACTGTATTTCATAATATATTCCTTTCCTTTAATAATAATAGACTTTTCAGAATCGCTCGGTTATTTCAGATTCATTCCGAATTCAAATCGTTTAATTCATTTAAAAAAAAAAAAAGAACCTACAAATTACCGTAAGATAAAATCTGAATTACAAGGGTATAACAATCCATATTGACGAGGGTACAGTGTACTGTATATTTTGTTATACTGTACAGCACTGTATACTGTACTTGTATATTATAAATAAGGAGACTTCTGAGAAGCTAGGTTCACAGTGGGACTTTACAGAGGAATGGTCAACCTTCCTGATGGTTATATTCATTTTAATCCTATCAGTAATATTTATTGAAGACGGTATGAAAGGATGTTAGTTGTCTGGTGTACCTCAAGTTGGTGAGTTTGACTGTTTTGTCTTAAAACTGGTGTTGCTCTGCCAGTCTATGAAAGTTAAGCTGAATATAGTATAGGGATTCAGTGATATCTTTTTAGTAATGACTTAGTTCTGCATAAATCTAGTGAATATATACAGAGTATTCATTTTCCATAGGATATTGGATCCATCCACACAATAAAAGAAATTGTCTCCAAAATTTATTATTCCAAGTCCTCCACACTAGATTGAAGGAGTTGTAGGTTCCTCTTTTCCTCCTGTAGCATGAGGGAAAACCACAGTGGGAGGAATATTGTACAGTTTTTATGGACAGTACACTAGCATAATCCATGAATAAGTTTTTACAGCCCCTTTTGTATTGTAGCCACTAAGCATGATTAATAGCATTACTTTATCATATAATGGGAAGAACAAAGAGAGTGCAAGATATTGGTGTCAGGTAGATTTATTGGTTAACTTGCTTGTCTAAGATCCATAATTTTTATTCATCTCATTTTCTCTATTGTATTGTATATGCTATTTAAATCTAATTAAAGCTTTACACTTGCAGAAATTTTATTTGATTTGGGTGATAATAATTATAAACTTGGTTTCAGCCACTCATCTTCTCTCACACAAAGTGTAGACTCCCTTCCAAGTTGTGAATCAGGAAGGTCTCAGCATTCTCATTCTCAGTCCCAAATTGGGCGGAGCTTACGTGGATCACCTGTAAGAGTCATGAACGTCAATTCTGCCTCAATTTTTGAGCTAATGAACGTTCGTGGTATGAATCAAGAAATGGCGGCAAATATTGTAGAATACAGGTAAATAGAAAATATTGACTGTTGAGCATTGATAAATTAAATTTTTTAGTTACACGATATTAAGTTATTTTTAGTACATAATGTGTCAAATGATTCTGAGCATATCTTTGTGCTTACTGGGGATTGAATTCAAATTTCTGTGATGCCATAGTACCAGAAATTTATTTTAAATGATAAACTGAAGTGCAAGGTTAGGCATCGAAGTAGATGTGATGTAGTAAGTGTGACCTATTGGTTGTTGACAATAAGACAACCCCTCCGACACAACCTTAACTCTGTTTGAAGAGGCTGCATGAGTTTTAGTCTTCAGTTTTGATACAAGGGAGCTTAAAGTCTTAATAATGAGTTTTTCATCCAGAGCACAAGGGGCAGGGCATCAGCTGAAATATTGGCTAATGCATCATGGAACATATACTGGCATGGATTGTGTGGCACTCAGGAATGTGTAAGGTTAGTTCTCTTACTCCTACCTTCGTTGGATCAGGTAGTGTGACTAATAGGGAACTTTGCTACATGAGCATTTGCAGCTTAGTAGTGCTTCCCTCCTCTCCGTTCTTACATGGCAGCATAGACTCTAAGCCTTCTTTCATGAGATGGTACAGTACCTTCATACTATGGGTCTCCAGTATTGGAGGACAGTATGAAGGTGAAGGATATTCTGATATTTTGTTTGATATATTTTTCAGGTTTTAGTCACAAGTTTTGGGTGTCTGGGAACTCAGTTTTCACCATGTAGACTTGCTGACTACAGAGAGTTGCCTTAGGACCTAGACCAGCTCAGATTGCCAACAGGATTTCAGGATAAATACCTCTTATTAATATGCATATCACTGGCCCTAAGAATGTCTTGAGTTATTGCCCTTGACTTGTAAGGTCATACCAAACATAGTCTTTCTTTATAGCTTTCCATATAAATATTAGATAAGGGGATATAACAGTTATGCTGACCTTTTATCCATTCCTCTGCCCATATTTGATAGATTTGGTTTTTCCTGTTTTAGCTTTCCTTAGACTCACTGGATTGATTTTGTTAGAGATGTAGTGGTACTAGTGACTCATATACCCGCATGTTGTTCAAGGTCTCTTTGTTGGCCTAATTCTTGATCAGAGCTTCAGTGAATAGCTTTAGATTATGCTCAGTTTAGTGATGTTTTACTTGAACCTTCATATCCTAGACAAATTTTGGTGAATGTGGACTTTACAAAGTCTTATCCCATCTTCAAGATAAGATTGTTTAGCCTGTACTCTAGTAGTCACATAGGGTATGACTTGTAGTAACACAAACCAACTGTACAATTGTGATCCCACCTGTATGACCATAATATACAGTAATACCCCGATTTACGCGGTCAATTGAACCCACTGAGGTCCGCGTAAAATGAGAAACGCGTAAATGGAATAACAGAACATATGGGATTAATTGAAATAGAGACTGGGCCAACTCCCAAACTCCACTTTTTCCGACACAATACCTGTGTTGTAGTAAAAATAACTTCTTAATTTTATGATGGTATGCACACACAATTAATATTTAAGAGAAATACAGTCGCCAGGTTAATGCCCATTCAAATAATGGACTCAACTCCGCCCCCCCCCCCTCCCCCCCCTCTTCCCACGTTCGCTGGCTCCTCCCTCTCTGAGAAATGTTTGGGTGAAAACACTAGATTTAAGGTATAGTAATAAATAATACCTCCGACTAAAGTTAGGATAATATAATTGACATTGCTGGATCCCTTGCAAGACCAGGAATATTTTGAATATACACATCATATATTTTGCACAAAAGATAACATAATTGCTCTGTGTAAACAAAATTCTTTCATTAGATCTAAAATTTGTATGTCTAATGCAAAATCCATGATGCTTACATTCAAAATGATCATCATATTGTAAGAATTCCAGCAATGTAAATTATAATCTGGCCGGGTAATTTGTATGAATTTTATGAGCTAAATAAAAAAATTATGCTTCACCCGCGTATATGAGTAGATGCACCGCATAAAGTAGGAATTCTGGTTTTGGCAGGGTACCGCGTAAATGTAGAAACGCGTAAAGCGGGGTATTACTGTACCTACACGGCTAGTAAAGAAGCTGGTGCCATCTAAATACAGCTTCTTGTCACACTTATTCATTCAATGAACTTAGCCTTATATTGGGTTAGCCAGGTCAGACTGCAAACACAAATGATATGAGAATTATATGTCAACATGTACTTCTCCATGGTCATCACAGTTGTTCTTTCATGAGATGTTTATACTGCTTTTGGCTAATGAGCCTCAGATATTGTATGGAGTATATTACTTGTTGTTTTGATAGTTTTTCTTGCCAAGAAGGTTCTAATCAGAAAATAATTGAGGTTAAAATTTTAGGAACACAAGATTGATATATTTAAGTCAGAAAACTTGTAATACTGTGATTTTATACATTACCATAGAAAGAATACAAAACAGACCAGACAAATTTCTGTACTACTATATGGCTGTTGTCGTATATTTTGTGGGAGAGAGTAGTTGATATACTTTTCTGTACCACTGGATATTTTCTCGATGTGGATCTATATGAATTTCAATTAAATCTAAATTATTTTAAATAAAATGTGTCCTCAGTGATAGTTTTACCTATATAGTAGACTGTACTGTATTTGTAGAGAATGTGCATACACATGTTGTTCATCTGTTTGTAGATACTGGGGTATCTGTAATTATTGTTTGTTGATTTATTTTTCTTTTCCTTTATTTCACAGAGAAAGGAAAGGTCATTTCAAGAGTATTGAAGACCTGGTAAAAGTTAGAGGAATTTCTGCTCGTGTCCTAAATGTTTTAAAGCTGTATTTAACAGTGCGCACTGTTGTACCTGCCTCCCCACCCATAAATGATAGTATCTCAGTAGCAAGCTATAGTAAGGTCTACCAGCACTGCCTTGATCGCAAGATACCAGGTAAGAAGTGATTTTGTGTTCATTTTATAAATACCTGTAGTTAGTTTGTGTGGACCTTTAGAAATATTAGTGCTGGAAGATGCGGTCTCGTTGCCAAACATGTCAAGCTGATATCTCAGTGAGCATGAGTGATAAGTGTAAGAGAAGATAAATCCACTTTGTCTAGACTAAGGATGCACCCTTACCATTACTTGACTTTTACAGACTTTGTAAGGTAAAAGGAATTTGGGAATCTAATATTCTCTTATATGCTCCTCTGATGAGCAATTTAAATAATATAGAGTATTTCTAGCTTTGTTCCAGAGTTTAGGAAGATTTTGAATGCACTACTCTAGTTTAGATTTCTAAATGAGTTCATTAATTTATTTATGAATTTTTGGAGCATAGATTGATATTTATAGATGGTTTTGAAATTTTTTTTATAGATTTTCTGAAGATATTACAACTCAAATTCATGTAAAGCATTGGTAATTAAGACAAACATTACAGCTATGTCAAAATAATTTCAATTGAAGCCATGCCCTCTAAAAATCAAGGTTTTTTAATCACAGGCCATCGACGAACTCATTCTGCCCCTTTGAACAATGACGTAGGTTCTCCTGGAAGACCGTCTCTGAACCTTAAAGATGAGGCAGATCCCAGAATATCTATTGATTTTAGTGCAGACATATTTGAACTCTTGTCTCTAAGGTTAGTGAATTACCTTGTTTCACAACTCTGTTAACTCAGCTTATATTCACCCATATTTAAAAGAGCTCTTTGTTAGAATCCTCAGATCTCTATTTTTCTAATCTAAGATATCTGATAAAGATTGTAAGATAATTGAACTTTAATTCTAATTGATTTCTAGATCTGAGCGACCTATTGTTAGAGATGTATTTAACGGGTACAGTCAAGAACAACCTGCTATCAGAGTTGCCACATGGAATCTGCAGCAGCTCACTAAAGATAAGGTTGGTTTTACTTAATATAGTAAGTAGCAACATATAGATTTGAAATACAGTATACGTATGTCAATGGTAGTGATCATTCATGTGTAATCTGTTTGTAGCCATTATTTAGAATTAGCTTTGACTATGTGAATGACTGCTATGCCATTCTCCAAAATGTAGTCATCATCATCATCATAGTTGTCATTTCATTGCTTTTGACATTGATTTATTTTGGCATTCAACAGTTTCCTATCATCCCATACAATTTCAGTGCCTCCCACGTTGGTCCTATCATCCCATACAATTTCAGTGCCTCCCACGTTGGTCATCTATCTTATTTATTAAATGCTTTTTCCTAATCTTTAAATGTCAGAATTTCTTTTTTCTTCTTTAGACCATTTTTATTCATGCTCTTTAATGCAACACTTTATCTATGCTTCCTTTCCCTTCTCTAAACCCACAGTGCAATACCTTCCTTCAATACAGTGTGGTTTTTTGTAACAAATTCTCTGTACTGTATATCATATCTGCCTCTATTTATTCTACTACCTGTATAATTTTTTCAGTCATTGTTATCAGTTTTCCCTTTATGCAGGGGAAGTGTACAGCATTTGCTATTTACCTTTCCTTTGGTACTCTTTCCTCTGACATGCATCACCAATCTACTCTTTGTCATCCATTCTATCAGTTTAATGATCATAAACTTATAATTTTCACAGCAATTTCTTACACTCTTGTTGGCTGACCATTCATGAAATTTGCTTACAACCAATTAAATTGCCTTATTTAGCATTTTTTCCTCTTTCATATTTAAGGATTTTAATATCATTCGTGGCACTTCATATTTGCCCCAAATTCACCTCTACTTCCTTGTCATCAATTCTCATTGTAAGTTCTCCTATTGATATCATCCTATATCTCACTTTTAGGCTATCATTGCAGTTACTGTATATATACTGGGTGTTCCATAAATACCTTTAATAAATCAGTGGTGTATTCCTGAGACACAAATAAAGATAAATAACTTAATGACCAAATTGTCAATTCTCGATAGTTTTGGAGTGTTTTGTGTTTTAACTATATTATGTACAATATTGAGCTGTTATAAAGATATTGAACCGTCTGCTACTCTACTTAATGAAAACTTTAAATATTTTCCAGTTTTTTCTATTTCTGATGAGTACTGTAGTACAGTACCAAGATTGACAAAAATAAAATTTAATTGTAAAAATATGCTATTATGTGGTTTTAATGAATTTAAGTACAGAAAAACTACATTAAAAAATTGGTTGAAATATATTTTAAGTAGCAGGTACAGGGGCCCCCCAAATTTGCGGATGTTGCTTTCTCAAAATGGCCGCAAATCGCCAAATCCGCAAATAACATTTGCTTACTGGGGGGGGGGGGTACATTTTTACTTGTGTACAAAGAAATGTATATTCCTGTTATGTGTTTGCCCTTAAGACAATTATTTCTCTTACCTGTATTGTAAATATGTATGTGTGTGTACACACATACAAATAAATAATAATGGGAAAATCCTCTCACAGATAATCAGAAGCAAATTTATTAAAAATGTGACAGTCTACCCTCAAGTCTGTGCTTTATTAATAAAGTAGACTCATATTTTTCATAAATTTGCTTCTGATTATCTGTGAGAGGATTTTCCCATTATTATTTATTTGTATGTGTTTGGTGTTTGTGCGTCTACACATACACCTGTTCAGTATTTACAATACAGTACTGAACAGGTAAAGGAAATTACTGTCTCTAGAACGAATGGCTCCCTGTCCCAACCGCGAAAATGCCGGCAACTTTAAAACTACCCACAGACATTCTTGGGTACATCCAGGGTGTCATCCACAAATAATAGAGGATTGTGAAATAAAAATCTGCAAACTTGGGGGCCCCCCCTGTACTGTAATTTTCATTCCTATAAAATACAAGAATACATTTACAGTACAGCATTTTGTTTTGCATTTTTCCATAAACTTATAATTAATTTAAAGGATATAATATTTGTTCTTTTATAAAGGTTGAGAATTTTCTCTTAAAAAAAATTTTGTCATGCAACAAAAAAATTATCTATATAGTTGACAATTGTTATTAGCGTTAATATGATATTTGTATCTGTTTATAAACAATAACTATTACATGATAAAAGAAATATGAAAGACTACACTTTATACAAAGGTGACCCAACCTTCTCAGCAGGTGAGAAGGTTGGGTCACCCCTTACCCTCTGACCTGACTACCGACCGTTGCGGAGCTATTTAAAGATTAGTAGGGTCATTACCTAATACCTAACCATTGTGGACCTGGTCTCACCCTCCTCTGTATATATACACCTTGTTTTGTACTTCTCTTTAGTCTGTACTTACCCCTGAAGATGTGAATTACACGAAAGCGCTTGGGAACTTCGTGTTTTCTTCTTTCCTTGTGGTTATCAGCATATACCTACATCACGCGCACCTACAGTGATTTACTTGCATATATACAGTAGAAGTCCAAAAATCCGGACTGCTTGGGGATTGGGTCGGTCCGGATTTTCGGATTTCCGGATTCTCAGGCAGTACTTTTAAAATTCAAATTTCGGGAGAAATAAAGAAGAGATGAACAGGTACATTTTGATAGTTTATTCATTAGCATATATAGCATGCTTCATTTATCAAAACGAGCAGTTTTAAAGATAAAGCTGTGAATTCTAAAATTTTATTCTTTGCCTTTTTTATATCATAAATTGTAGACTTTCCAATGTCGTATGTTTCCATTAGATCAGTATTGCTCACACCACGTTCTAGTTTCTTAATTATTTCAAGTTTGTCACTCAATTTCAATGTGTTCTTCTTTCTCTTCACACAACGAAGTTTATCTACTTTAGGGGCCATTATTATGGGCTTGTACTCTGTACATGGAAAGAGTAGGACTCAAAATTACATACGTTGTCACAGTTTGATTGCTTGTTTTAAAGTGGCGATCGCGTGGTCGCTTGTTGTCGCTGTGCAGCTGTGGCATTCACGCATGCACACATACACACAAAAGATTTATAGTGCCTCAAATTTTACATTTCAGTTCAAGCTAATTACAAAACTAACAAAATTAGCTACCTATAATTTACAATTACTTTTATTATTAGAATTATGTAAATTAATTTTTTAAAGCAACTCCATTCATTCACATAACCCACAAAAGCCCCCGCTAAATTTAAAAAGTTTGAGTTTTCGAAAAGTCCGGATTCTCGGGTGGTCCGGAGGATTTTTGGACTTTTACTGTATGTATGTATGTATGTATGTATATATATATATATATATATATATATATATATATATATATATATATATATATATATATATATATATATATATATATATATATATATATATATATATATATATATATATATATATATATTTACTGTACACATATTTATCAAAAGACTCTTGCATATGATTACAAATGATCTTTATGCAGATCTGTAACCCTGGCGTATTGGAGGTAGTGTGCCGCACCATATTAGAGAATGGATTTAGTCTCCTGGCCATTCAGGAGGTTGGCAGTAAAGATGTTTTGGAAAAGGTAAGTGAATTACAGTACAGGGGTTGTTAATTGGCAATACTGTCTGGTAAATAAAGGACTAATAACTTTAAAAACTTTCTTGTTGTGTCTAGCTCACACCACACTGAATACAATTTAGCAGCTAGATATTCATACATACTTTTGTGGGAAGGGTATTAGGATTCTCAGCCTTCAACCTTAGGTAGTAACTGAGGCTTCATGATATTTTTGTGTTGTACATATTGATTGATCATGTTACTATAGTACAGTACTGGTAAGTGCCCCTCAGTATTTCCCACATCCTTCTTCTATCCTCCTACTGTACAGTATTTGTGTATGCTTGTCAATGCAACTCTTTTCCTTTCATTGTGTCAATGTTTCTCAGAGTAAGCTTGGTGACTTATTCATTAGTGCAATTACCAAACACTAAATTTTGGGGGAGAGTAAATGTGCTGTATTAGATGTTGATGGTCTGCACACTATCAAACTTCATACTGTTCTTTCAGTAATTACATAGTAATATCCACCACCTTTTGTTGTTCCTTCAGAGTGTGCCTTGGTATTTTACATGTGTTCTTCCTTATACTTCACAACTTTTGTATACAGGATATATATTGTGACATCCTATTATTTTCCACAAGTTCATGCTATGTGGCAAATTTATTATACTGTACATACAGTATGGGACTAAGACATCAGGTGTTACCATAGTCTTTGAACACAACAGGTTCTGGAGATGGTCTGTTTGTGTGTGGTGTTGTTAAAGGTAGATTTTACTGTACATGTGGCTGCCTGTTGTGATCCCAGGGAAATAGAACTTTAGAGTTATAGATGATATTATAAACTAGAGATGTGGCATGGAGACAAATTTATGCTTTTTTCATTTTCCTAAATTGGAAAATGTTGCAGAATTCTTTTGAGTATTTGGGTAAGAAATACATCATGTGGATTTTCAAATCCGTAGATCTGCTGTGAACTAAATCAAAGCAGTTTAAGGCGTGTGCGTGAATGGGGGGGACCCAAGGGAGAGTGGAGGTGGCAAGTGTCAGAGGAGCCTGCTGGCCACATGTATCATGTAAGTTATAATTTGTAGTTTTTTATTTTCCTTTTTATGAAAAGTGCATGAAATTGGTACAGAATAATCAGTCCTGTAAACACAGTTTCAGAAAATCATTAATTCTCTCCCAGATGTATTCCATTACATTTTTATGCCCTTACCATTTTGTTAGGTAAGATTTGGACGGTACACAATACCTGTACTGTGTTTTGATTTTTACTCACTGACTTTCCAGAACCTCAAGAATGTGTTAATTATTTGTGATAATAATTTTTACAGTGAATTACAGTATAACATTTTTGCATCCTCTGTATGTACACAATACAGGTGCATTTTAAAAATCACTCATTTAAATATCTAGTTATCTACCTTTTTTCCACTCAATTTGTGTATCCAATTCTCCATTTAAATATTCCCACCATTTATTATAGATACTATACCGGTACTTGTTTTACAGTAGTATAATATACAAGTAGATATTACATACCAGTTGGAGCAGCTTTCCCAGTCATCATTATTAACTCATTCCAATTCATTCTATCAGCTTTATTGTTTGCTTCTATGAAGATCATGATTTTTGCATTCACAGTCAATTACTTCCTGTTGATTTTTCTCAGTACTGTACTGTAGTGTTAATACATGGAGAAATATTAATGTTGCAAGAATATTTTCTCACCATCACACAGAAGGAGCCACCCTTCACATGCCATTCTTCATAAAGAAGGAATAGCCTCAAAATCTCATTATTGGTACTTTTCATCACGTTGATGAAGGATCTGGGATAAAAAAAATTGAATTGTAATAAAAAGTTATTCTACTGATCCATTAATTAATTAAACTCGGAAATTTTTTAATTCGTATGCGAACACTAATTATGCACGACCTAGGAGTCCTCAATACCAATTGTTTTTTTGTTTTTTTTTTTAAATAAACTGGGTAAGAACATTAGTTTTTATTTCTAAGGCAAAAAATTATTTCACTCAAAATACACCTGAGGTTAACACTGAAATTATGTACAGTATCACAATTTTTAACAGAATTTAGGCTTTGCTCAGAGTCTCACTATAGGTGCAGTACTTCTCAACATTCTGATTAAGGTCTGGGGTGTTCTCTAGTAATTCTGTAAATAATAAACTGGGTAAAATAGTTTACTTGTAATTCCAAGACAAAAAGTGTTTTCACTCCAAAAGAAACCCAAGGAACTGTCTTGTTTTTTGTGTAGAAAAATATCTTGATTGATTTGGCTATATGCTTAACATCAAATGATGGTTAATGTTGTTGAGTTATCCTAACTTTTCAGAGTAATGAGTACGCAGCTTTCATATATAATGTGCGTCATGGTCTCCAGCTTACGTCTGCCTCTCTCTTAAGTGTACACAACAACAACAACAGCAAATCTGCCAAAGCTCACATCAGAAAACCATATCTTGGTTACTTTAAGGTTAGTAAATTGTACGAAACTTGAATGGTTTTTGTCATTTCTTACTTACAACTGTAAACAGTAAAAAGTAATAAGTTCAAACACTCCATTTACTGACACCTGCCATCTTGAGACTCACAATTAATATCATGTACAACTTACAGACAGTAAATTCACTGTACTGTACTGTATAAATGCATTTCAAGTAGTTTTCATTGACAAAATTAAATATCACCATTTGTCTACAATACCAAAATTCTAATGAGAGTACTGTACAGTGTTGGGTAAAGCTAATAGCTGTCATTAATGAGTTATTGCTATCTTTGTTTAAACTAAAAATGTGCCTGACATATTGTTCTCTCATAAGAAAATTTATTTTTGGACAGTTTAGTGAAAAAAAATATCAGGGAAAAGGTCACTGAATGATAGTACTGTGACTAAAATGTGTGTGCTGATGCTCTGGAGTAGTTACACAACTGGTGAGACCTGAAGATGTGTTGGTATGGGTGGGTGGCACTTGTGGGCTGTAGAGATGTACACAGCCTCTCATTTTCTTGATATAAGTTTTCATTGTTTATAAATTTGTTTTGTCACATTGTGTTGTAAAGCTACGTTTAATTATCGTAGATAAAAACAAATTCTGTAGTCAGTACTGTAATTACATACGGTACTTGAGGCTGCAGACATTAGTTGATCATTTGTGCCTGACAGTGTAGAAGAAGTCATAGAAACCGGTGTATCATCTCACTTATCACCACCACCTCCCTCATCATTATAGACTGGCTCTTTATTACACATCAACCCTTCAGACTTTTATTGTTTCATGGTGCTGAATTGAAGTAGATTAATTTATCATAGGTGAAAGAGAAACCGTTGATAATAACAAATTTAAGGCTTTAGACTTTATTTCATAATTTTCCTCTTGTGTGTCTGTAAGTTTTATTGGATTATATAAAATTTTCCTTGAGTGATGGACATGTGTGATGGTTGTCAGGAATGATGATTCCATTTGAGGACTGCAGCATGCATTTCTTCATTGCCTTATGTTTTACTAGGTTAATACATTAGTTGCTCTGTATGAATTTACACTGATCTGACAGTGGAGTGTTCAGCCTTTTGGTAGAACACAAACAGCCACCCTGGATGAAGCAGACTGCCTTGGGGTTTTATATTAGGTGAATCTTGCAGGTAATTCATCTCTTCCCTCAGCCATAAAGGGAATATTAGACTTCAATTCAGTATTAATATTTTTAGTCTTCTTTGTATCATTAGCAGGTATTAGAAACCCAATTTCATATTTCTAGTATTTTATCAAAATTTGTTTTACAGAGTTACAACTTTGACTTTGTAGTGGTGAGCCTTCACATTAATGCTGTTCAACATGGAAAAGTAAAAAGAAATAAAAGCAATTATATGGATGAAACAGTGAGGGATGATGATACACTGAACAAAAGAGAATCCAGTACACGCCCAGAGCCACTACAGCTAGCACCACTCGTTGTTGCACTGAAAGAGAAATTAAGCGGTGAGAAGGATATTATCCTCTTAGGAGATTTCAACTTACACCCGGATGATGCTGGTGAGTTGTATTTCATAACGGCGGACTTGAGTGATTTGCTCAGGGTTTTTTTATACTGCGTAATGCACATCTTAGAACTTTTCAAAATTGTTGATTAGATTTTTCTGAAATGTAGAAGAGGTGCAGTTGTTGAACATGGCTTGAGTACAGTACTGTATATGCTCCAGTCTTAATATAAGTTTGTTGAAATATGTATGTGGCTTATGAGTCAGTCGTCAAGTGACTTGTGAGATGATGTATCCCTCCACAGAACTCCCCCTGGTAGAGATAGTTTTAACAAAAGGGTTGCTACCTTCTGATACAGGAATGCTGTTTTATACAGACCAGCAAACATCTAAGTAACAACTCCCCAAATGAATCACTTTTTAATGAAGATGGCACCTCAACTGAGATCCAGTTATGCTCTGAAAAGCAAGGCAGATGAACTGTCATTGGGACAAATCTCTTACCATATCATGAGACTCAAATCACCCAGCAATAAACTTACTACTGTATCTGAAATTCAACCCATTAAATTGTTTCTCTGCCAGCGCCTGTCAAAATGGGTATTGTCATATCATATACTGTACATGTTCATCACAGAAATTTTGAAGCTCTGTCAGGCTGTTTCTTGTCATACAAGCTGGCAGATATGGTATTCTATGTCCATACTCAAGCTGTGGGATTCTATATTTAAATTTTTTATTTTTTATACAGTATAGCATTAACATTTTGTTTCATGCAAATTTGTTGACAGGATACAGTATTAGCAAGCAAAAATGACATAAGCTTATTGGTCAGGCAGTACACAAACTCCTTTCCAATGAGTAAGTGATTGAAATACTGAGTACTACAGTATAAATTTACATTTAACTATCTCACTATTATTTCTGGTGGATTTGTATTGGATAAAACAATTGCTTTGTGCAATGTATGTACAGTATTAATTTTTTCATCTAAGACAAATGTGCTAGAGATCTTTTTTCATTGGTTTGTGTACTAGGGCAGTCAGATTACCGAGTGATTGATGGAGAAAAACTTTAAGTTTGTAAATGATAAACTGTGCTTTAATTTGCTAAGTGTCCCAAAGTCCACAAGTTGTTGCCATCAGAACATCTTATTGGTGAAGAAGATGGTGTTAAGGCTTGCCCTCCATCTCTCATTATTAGTTCATCATTGCACATCCTTCTTAGATGACCTTAAGCCAAAAATTTCCATCACTAATTTATTTACTTATTTTTTCCTCATGAACAACACTATGGTTTAGTGTAATATACAGGTTTTTTCATTGTTTTTATTAAATTTTAGATGTAATACACCAATTACCCTCTTCTTTCCTCTGCCTTCTAACCTAACTTTTTCTCATGGATGAATTAGTAGCTATGCAATATAAAACTTTAAGTTTCCCTGTGATTTCCTCAACTATTTTATACAACATAGTGAACTTTTATTAATCAAGAAAAATGTAACATTAAATACCTTACATTTGTATTGTTGTGAGCAGCAAAAGAGAGAGGGACATTATTTTAGTAAATTAAACACTACTATGTTTTTTGTTTTTCTTGTAATAGTTTCAGGAACAAAGCTTCTGTTTTCAGATGACCCAGCAAGATTATGATAGGTCTGTGTCCAACCAGGCTGGATGTAGGCACTTCACAGCTTTTCATGTGATATTATGCCCTTCCAGTAGCTATTGCACTCGGATATTATTTGTCTTTAATGTTTCTGGGAGTTTGTTTTCTAAGAACAAACACCTTGACCTAATTTGCATTTACGAGTTGCTAAATAAATTCCAAGATTAACTAGTGTTCCAATTTCAGCTTTTGGTGTATTACGAGAGGCAGCTTACAGCAACATTGTGCCAGCAGATACCTTCACCAATACTAGTGACATATATGTTGAAGAATCTTGCTGTTTTGACAACATATGGCTCAATTCCCACACCAGGACTGTTTATACAGGTATTATTTAGCGAAGGAACAGTCAGCGTAGTTAGGCTTTGATGAGTGTTATCCTCGGCCATGGAACCTAATCCCCTATTTCCTGTAAGCCTTTAGTCTTGCCAACCACTTGTTTTTTCAAGAACCTAACTCCTGTGATTGGTAAGGAACTACTGTATGTTTTAATTAATGCTATTTAATATAAATGGAACAGTAGAAGTGACCACAGATGGTAAAGAAAAAAGTGTGAGACAGATGAGGTAAGGCCAACATGTGTACTTACACATGCGTGCAAATAAAACAACATTGCAAACAAAAAAAAATTTCTCTACATAAGAATTTGAAAGCAACACATATTACTGTTTATTTCTGTACATTTATGTTTTAATTAATGTTTATAAATGTAAAACAAAAAATCTACTCACCAATGGTGGTAAAGCCAAAAACATAAGGACACAGCCAATGATGTTGTCCGAGTTTTTACTCAGATGAAGAGCCTAAATCATCAGGCTCTGTTTCTTAGCTTTTAAACCAACATTACCATCACTTGCCCTCTTGCTTATGTTGAGTAGGGGCAGAAAATGCTGTAAAATACCCGAGAGTTTTTATCCTGATCCGGTTCAGACACGTGGAAACAAAAAGCCCACCAAGTAGCAACTGTTTATGTTAGTGATGTCACCAGTCTGGCGGCTGTACAACACTGTGCAGTATATTAGTTATTTACGTGATTATGTAATTTATTTTATTTATCTTTTTGCATATTAAATACTGTATGAATGAAATAATAATGTAAATTGAAGCAGGTCCTAAATTAACCAGGATTTAAATTATGGATCATCATTTTTTGTAGTTTCCCTATAACTACAATATAGTAATGAGTGGGTACTTTGGGAAACATAACCAACTTTTGTTATAGAATTTGAAATTAGATTTTTTAATTGGTTTATTTGTTCTAGGATTATAAAAAGACACCAAATGGGAAAACCAAAATTAACTGGTTTACTAACTTCAGGGTCATAGAAGAACACTTTTACAGTACAGTACTGTAATGTAACTGTGTTACAGTAGCATGTTTGCTTATTCACTATTCTGAAACATAAGATCTACTTAAAACTCATCCAAATGTAAAGTCTATTTATGGGTCAGTACAGGTCCATATCAACACTAGCAATACTTTATAATATTAAATGATGACTTTTACATGTATTAATCAATGTTTGGGTAATAAATATGCTCTCCAATAAAAAACTCTCATGGCCACATTACCTCAGGTAGCCACAATACCTTGCACGCCAATTGTGCCTTAGAGAGGTTTTACCGTATTTACCTTTAATACGTTGTTGTAATGTGTGTTTTAATTGGCAGGTAACTGGGGAGTAGTGCGAGAGGGGATGAGTCATCTAGCCATTCCCTGTGGATGGGGTTGGGGTGGAGTAGTGAGTGACCACTGTCCAGTTTACTGTGACCTCTACTGCAACTGTGAGAATGACCCTGGACAAACAGGCACCTTACAACCTAATGGAGATATAGAAGAAGCCTCGGTATGAGACGAATCATATTTAGCTCAGCTTGTTGAGCTTTTGCCATCGCCTGTTGTGTGTCCGTCCATCCTACATCTTTTCATCTATCTACTTTAGACTCCTCAGTCAACTTCAGCTGGATCACTTTGTAATTTGGCATGAATGTACCTTAGTGTCATTAAAGTATATATTTATGAGTTCCCAATCTAATTACTGTATCATTAAGGGGCTTTTTTTTTCTACCATCTTATTATAAAAAATTTCTAGCAGTTTACAATCAATCCATAGTTATAATTGGCTGCTAGTGTTTTCATAATATTACATATTGCATGCCTCAGTTGATTAGCATTGGCAGCCTTTTGAGAACATTAAATATTTACCGCACTCAACTTTAAGATAACAGGTTGATAAGTATCCTATCCATGTAGCAGGAAGTAACCATTGCACTTTAACATGGATTTTAATTTGATTAATATGACTGTAAATGCTTTGTGCTATTGAGTTTCAATAGCAATGCTCAACTTATATACGAGTGTGTGTGTGTGTGTGTGTATATATATATATATATATATATATATATATATATATATATATATATATATATATATATATATATATATATATATATATATATATATATATATATATATATATATATATTATTTTTTTTATTTTTTTGACAGTATGGAACACAAAAAGTTGGTTTGTAGTTAACTATTAAGTGAGGGGAAGATTTGTCCCCCTTGCCTACACTTTAGTTATACTGTAGTTACTACTTGTACATTCAGTATCTCAGGGTGTGAAACATACCTGCCATGACATGGGGAATCTTCAGATTTGCTGTGATACACGTGCTGCCTCTAGTGTAGAATATGTTCAATTTGTATTATTCAAATAATTATTGGTAGTTTGTTAATATTGTTGGCACCTTAGTAAATATAAAGTACTGTACAGTATATATCATCTTTATATGATGTACAACCTTCTTCCCCTCTCAGAGCAGTGAGGTACATGCACAGTGTTCCTCAGACATTTTTGATAGTGGCAAATTCCACACATGTCAAAGGTCGACAAATATTACTCATACAGTATTAGTTTTAAAGAAAATGAGGGTTGCCTCAGCAAAAGTACACATAAGATAATATCTTGCACAGAAGTATGAAAGGATAGAAATAAAAGCAAGATATACTAAAATACTGTACAGTATATAGAAATTGGGAAATTATGTTTTGAATGAAATAGCTGAATTCGAGAAAGACAGGTTGTCAAATTATGGTTTGGTAGAAGGCCTGTCATGGTAGTGCCTTCATGAGTAGCCTAGTACTGCTCCTCTTGGTTTTAATTAATTTTTTAGTACAGGTTTGACCCTGCTAATCCAGGACCCGATAGTCCGGCAGCTTCGGGATGGTGTCGTAGCTCACTTCTGGTGTCTGTTGCCACTACAGTATTTTACCTTTAAATACTTGTAATTTATCCTTAAATATGCCTCCTAAGAGACCAGCAAGCAGTGAAAGTGGTTGTAATACAGCAAAACATAAGCATGTGATATTAACTATTTTAGAGAAGATGTCTATACTGAAGAAATTAGACAGTAATAATACATTTTCTGCATTATTTTGCCTTTTTTAACCTCGGCTTCGATGTTTTGGAATTTTTGCTAATCTGGAACTGGTCTGGTCCCAAGCTTCCCGGATTAGCGAGGTCCAGCTTGTATATGAAAATATATTTTGCATAGCCATCCTGCTTAATAGGCTCTCAAAGCAAAAAAAAAAAAAAAAAAAGATGCTTCTACATTAGCTTTTTATTCCGGAGAAAAATTTCGCATATTCTGCACTGACGAAGAGTAAAGGGAATATAACACCCAAGTGGACATAGCATTCACCCCCTTTCCTATGGAGCACTACTTCACTTCTTGGGTATCCCTTGTTTACCCATTTATGAATGAATGGGCACCAACTTTATAGTTAGGGAAGGGAAGGTGGTAAGAGGGTGGTGCCAGCCACTCTGCTTCCCCTGTGTTCCAGAGGCTTAGTATTCAATGTACTGTATCCACACTGTGTCTAACTGCCATCATACCTATAAAACCCACTTTTATGAATAGCTATGTAATGAAATTACTATGTATTCTCTCTTAGGAGATTATTGGATGTCAATGTCCCCTTGTGTTCATAAAATGGACATAAGGAACTCTTCAGGGGATCTTAAAAATGAATAAACCTGACTCTTTTATGGTGTTAAATGAGGACAGTTGGGCCATTAACCTGTTTTTAGGTCAAGTGATTTAAACCTAAAAAGTAATCAGTGACTACACTTATTGTAAGCTCTCACCAAGCCTAGTACAGTATTCCCGGGTAAATCATCTTGGGGGATTATTATTTTTTGTGATCACATTGGTTAATGAAGTTTCCACTTGTGGTAAGCGAGTGGATACAGCACTTATCTCCTACCTAACTTTACAGTTGGGGAAGTGAAGGCAGTTAAGTGCAGTGCTTGTCACTGCACCTAACTGCACACCAAAGTCTTAATATACAGTGCACTATATCCACATTGTCTGTAATGGGCAGTCTTGCCTGTGATACCAACTTCCACTCTTTCAATGAAAAAGATTGTTGATACACCTTAGTTCAGTGGCATTACTGGGCACCTAAAAATATTCTTAAGATGTATTTAAGGGATTTTCTTATTGTAGATTATACATTAAGGCAGGAAGTGCACTGGCTCCATGACTTGGATAATCACAATCTCTGCCCAATTCACAGTGAATGTTGCCCTTTTAGCTGCTTCTATAATAGAGTTGTGGAATATGTGATGATTCTTGTCCATATTTTGAGTCATGATGTTTTCAGGAAACTGAGATTGTATGGGGTCCCTTTGTTTTCTGACTGAGCCAAGCAACAGAGAGTATACACATGCTTACTTTATGGTGAAGAGTTGAACTCTCTTCCTTTTCAGTGTGCCTTTATACAGAGTGTCTCCTTCATTGGAATCCAATTTAATGGTGAAGAATTATTTAATTCTCAGGTTTGTTAAGTTTTCAGATTCTTAGTGACATGTCCGAGTTCCTAGGAACATGATTTTCAACTTGTATAGTTGTGGACTACACAGAGCTGCCCTATTCTGGCATATTTGAGAGTGTTTGTACACTCTTCCATTTACCATAATACTTCATCCAGTGACAATGAATTTTGATTTAAATGAAAATCTAAGCAATGGTATTTTAATCCTGTATTTTTGTCTCCCAAATTCTTCCTTAAAGTAGATGTAGAATTACTCTGATCTTCATCCAAATTTCCTATTTACTTAATATACAGTACTGTATTTGATAAAAACCAACTTATTGTGTTTTCAGAGATCAATTACCTTGATGATGCCTTTTTCATGGAAATTCATTGTATGTACAAAAATACAAAACAAAAAAATCAAGTGAATGGGGATATTGCATTACTTGAAATCCAAGTCATCATATTGATCCCTCACTTTCACATACATCTTCCATAATGAATAAAAATCCATTATTACTATTGTAAGTTAATTATCATTCACCTCCAATTATGTAATTATTTAATTCACTAGCTTGCTGTATCTACCATGCTAGGGGCCTTCAGTCATTATTCATTATAAAGGGGCTTTCAGATTTTTAGACTTCACTCTTCAGTAATGGTTGTAATCATCTTTGTTCTGTCTTAGGTGCTGGGTGCTTGAATATCATGGATAGTTTATTTTGGTCTGTAAATAATAAACAAAATTGTACTGTATACCTGAATAGCGATGAGATGACTGAAAATCACTGGACAGCTCATACTCACACTTAAACTGTGGATAGTAGAGTCTAATATATATATATATATATATATATATATATATATATATATATATATATATATATATATATATATATATATATATATATATATATATATATATATATATATATATATATATATATATATATTCAAAATGGTTTGTTATATAGGGATGACCATGTAGATTATCGTAGTACTCACTCGATCTCTCACTTTGTTGTCATCCAGCAAAAAATGGAATGATAGGAATTTTTTTATGGTGTCACCTTTGCTTGTGGGTTCTAAGGTGGTTCAAGGGGCTGATATGATATTGACAGGGTTGTACACAGATGATGCATGTGTGGAGAGCTACATCTAGTGAAGAATCATCTTTCTGATGTTGGTGCTTATACACTTTAGCGTGCTTGTAGTCTGTTACACTGGAAGGTTTTAACACCTTATCACGCTGTACTTCTCCAAACATCACAGTTTAGATGGTCATCTATAAACTATTAAAACGATTAGTATCATAGCTAACCAAATTATTCTAGCCTAACTTAATCTAACATTTCCTAGTCTAGTTTAGGTATGTGTGTAGTTTCGTTATCTCATAATAGCAAGCAATATCTTAAATAAAACAAAGCAATATTTATTATATATGAATTAATTTTCATTAAGTTATAACAATAATATCTAAGTAGTAGTTGCATTTTACAGGATAATCAGACAATTATTCCTGACATTGTATTATAGTACTGTGTGTGCACTGCTACCTGGATGAATGCTTTGGTCACCATTGTTATACCTCATTGCAAAATAGAGATTCCTAGATTATCCATATCTTTATTGACAACACCTTATCTTCAGTAATTCATGCTGTATATATGTAAAATACAAATATTGTAAGATTATAAGATTTTGTCTATTTGTTGATTTATTGTTTGTTGAAGTAGAATTTTCATACAAAACTACTGTAACAGTGTCTTTGTCAAATTATATTTATGTATTTTGTTCATAACTTATTAAATTTTTATGGGAAATCTACTTTTATCTTTCAGTTTAGGCAATATATATATATAATATATATATATATATATATATATATATATATATATATATATATATATATATATATATATATATATATATATATATATATATATATATATATATATATATATATATATATATATATATATATATATATATATATATATATATATATATATATATATATATATATATATCCTGCTTAATACAGGATGGACAGAAACATGAGTGACATAGTTTTCCTTCATTCCTTCACAAACATTCTTTTAGTCTTTTCATAGTAAAAGATGTTTACTGTATTGCTGTGGTCCTCCTCTACTGCAAGAAAACCTTAAATAAGGTGTGCTGGTGACTTCACCTAAACCAGCATAACGTTCTTTTCAAAAACATTCAATGAAATGTATTTCACTCATTCTGGC